AACAAGATCAACTTAATTAAAAAAGAAGCAGTCAAATTGCCCAAATATTGAGCTTAATCTAACCCACGAGGTGCAAACTGTACCATTATGCAGGAAAGGAGGTAGTAAGTACTTTCTACCTAATAGTACTCCCYCCTCTCAAATTCTTTGCTTTTGGGATGCAAAACATGGGTATTATCCAGATGATCCCTCCCCGCCCATAGGAKTGTAATAATCTTTATTTTCTGTCATCCCCCMAAATAGTGATTTCACACCACCCCCAAATAGAGAAACCTATGAGTTTTATTGGAACTATAATTTAGAAGTATGAGTATGTATGGTACAATCCCTTACTGGTTTTAAAATAATTGGGAGCTTTCTTGGATATTAAGTGCACCAATCAATAGTAGTAGTTTACATACTAGTATGATGAATATCATAACAATTCTTGATAGCCCCATTAATCCATAGTTCCCACCCATAGTTGATTTAATGATGTCATCATTCATGCAGTAGTAGAAYACATGATTACAAAATCCAGAGAGAAAGTTTTCAAAGTTTCTGGTGGTGGGTGAATTATGCTGAAAATGTTSGAGAGCAACACTCTGTAGAGCACTGTATAGTAATATTGTCATGTACTGAAAAAATGAATGATGGCATCTTTAATTTMATGATGGGAACCAATTTATTAGTGTGGCCATTAATTGTTACTGGATTCATACTAGTAGCTAGTAGTAGTATCACAAAAATTACTGAGTGTTGCTCCCCAAAATTTTCAGCATGGTGATTAGAAGCAGGAGCAGGATTGGTTGAAAACCAGTAGTAGTACTACTACTATTACCTCAGTAGGTTTTGTTGTACTGTGTTCTAGTACTAGTTAGTACTGCACTAATGAGGAGTGCATCATTAGTAAGAAAGAAAGAATGGGAACCAATTTATTAGTGCAGCAATCAATTCTTACTGGATTTGGATTTGTAGTACTATTTGTAGTATTCAGAGTAAGGAAATCAAAAATCAGTTTTTGGATCCCAGACATGGCCCTCTGGAACCAAAGCACACGCATCCCCCCTTTTAAATTGAACATTTGGTGGGGCATGATTTCGTGGGTTATTTTTCCCATGTGATAACCCATGATTCTAAAATGTGGGTTACTATTTTTCACAAACAACAATAACCCATGTTTTAAAATGTGGGTTCCTGGGTAACCCATGAATRACCCATGAAATAACCCACGAATTAACCCACGAATAACCCAAAAACCTGCTGGGTCTATTTTCAAAAATTAAAAACAGTGATTAAATAAAGTTAATGACTAAAATACTTAACATCCATGTTGGGCGGTGGTTCTCCATCAACCCAGATGACTGTAAATTTGTGGGTTATTCGTTGGTTATTTCATGGGTTATTTGTGGGTTCCTGCCTTATTTCATGGGTTATTTTTCAAATAAAATAACCCACGTTTCTAAAACATGGGTTATTCTTCCCATGTAATAACCCATGATTCAAAAAGGTGGGATATTTTTCACCAAAAATAACCCACGTTTTTCTAGGGGAGGAATTCGAAAAGGGGGATGTGCGTGGGTACTGGAGGGCCCCGAGCCCCGATGGACCTTGAACAAGGTAGGAGTACATAAGTACGTACCATATGTACAGAAAATATTTTTTGTTTTTTGGGTAGAAAATCAAAGAATGAAATTAGTGCATTCATTTCATAGATCGTAGAAGCGGACGATGGGCAGACTRAGTAAGTCGCGAACTACTACTACAATCTGCACAATCGAGTTCGGGTAAACATCGTCCGTTTGTCAATTGTTGATGTTTGACACGTCAAAACCGAAGTAGATCCAATAAAAATTACTGTACGGTACTTGTTGCACTTGGGTAATTCGAATAAAATGATCACTATCGTCAAACAAAAAGAAGCCAATAGTCAATGTCGGACCTAGAAAACTTCCATATATTATAAGAAACGAATAATCCTAAACACTTTTCTTCTCGGCTACAACGATGATKGCAGGAGAGTGGTATCTGATTCCATTCACACATGTCTCGTGTTTTCTTATCACGGGAGGCCAAACGAATGCGGAAGGATACGAGGGTCGATGGTGCGCCATCTGGGAGAACAGGATTACAACGTTTGTAATATTCGTCGCACTTTTCGTTGGATTTCTTCTCGCGTTACTACTTTCACAGAGGAGGAGGACGAAATTGTTTTTGGAGCGAAGTGGCTTACCGACTGTGTACTGGAGGCCGCGTTTCATGAACTATGTATACGAACCATCAAAAAACGACAAAAAACTATCATCGTCAAGTGTAACAAGGATTTTACCCAAGATGAGAAAACACGGAGGACCATACGGTATGTTTGGAACAGTTTACGGGATAACCACACCCGTGATTCATGTCGCACACCCCATTCCTGCTAAAGCCATTTTGAATGGAAGGGTAAATATGAACTCAAAAGGAGTTGCACGTCGTCCGAGTGTGTCTTTACCGGTATCCCAATCGACTCCCACTTCAAAAGCTCCATCTTACGATCATTTTAAAGATTTCATGGGGATGGGCGTTTTTACGACGGATGGTGAGGATTGGAAGGCAAAGAGGAGTGCTATCATACATCATCTCATCAAAGGGACGGCTTCGTCAACTTCCGAGTTGTCACAGAGGCTTGAGATTGAAGCGAATCGGGCTGCAACCACATTCTGTCGTCAAGTACAGGCTTTACAGCACGATCAATCATCATCAATAAAAAGTGAASGCGGCGTTGTCACAACAAACATTATTCCTTTATTGCAACGGTCCACTATCGGTTTCATTTATCGATATCTCACAAGCGCCGATCCAAAATGGTTGCTTCCTGTCAATATGATGTGCTACAGTGAGCACGACGATGGTGSCATGACAACAGCTTCTGAAAATAGTTCGGTCGCATCTTCATTAGACGAAACAGCGAGCAGTGTGACCGGAACTGATGATGATACYTGCTCMCTCTCGTCGTCATCTTCCATGCTCAACAACTATTTATCAGCCACGATGAAAATACGAATGATTATTCTCGCTAATTCGCGGTCATTGTGGTATCTTTTGCCTCGATGTTGTTATCGACTTTTTTCATCGCTCTATCGCGACGAAAAAATGACGCTGAGAGTTATTCACAAATTCGCTGAAAAAGCCTGTGAAGATGCGCAACMTCATTCGCCTTTAGGTCGACTTCGTGGATCGGAAGGTCCATATAGTTCTGAAAATTCTGATTGCAAGAGCTCGTCTGAAAATAACTTAATGTACGAGGCTACTACATTATTATTTGCAGGTCAAGATACAGGTGCTGCGACGCTTTCCTGGGCGCTTCATTTATTGAGCTTATATCCGCATACACAAGAGAGACTGGCAAAAGAGCTTCAAGAAGTTTTGGACGCAGACGAAATTTTTRCCAAACAYGAAGATCGTATCATTACGAAGAAAATGCTTTTGAAACTACCATATTTGGATGCTGTTGTAAAGGAGTCGATGAGACTTTACCCAGTCGCACCATTTGTTGTACGACATTTGCAGGAAGATATCTGTATTCCGAAGGAAAGTGAAAACGGAACAGTGACATTACCCGCTGGTGCAAACGCTTTGATATGGATATATGGTTTACATCGAAACCCTGAGTTTTGGGCTTGTCCGGATGACTTCGTTCCAGAACGATGGACAGATAATAGCATCAAAGATCCCGGGCAAWCCAATGGTGCATATATGCCATTCGCATCAGGGCCTAGAAATTGTCTCGGGCGGCCACTTGCTCATATCAATCTGCGCACGATTCTTGCAAAAGTGATCTATGAATTCAAATTCACWGACGCTAGATTGCGGACTGCAGATAATGCTGATGATTTGCGAATAGCTATGGAAGCTGGGTTCACTGTTCTACCAACTGGTGGTGTCAACTTGGAAATTACGAGTAGAAAGTAAGAGATTGAAAAGGTGACAAAGAATATGCACAAAACGTAATGGCAAATATCACACAAGTGATTTTTTCAACAATCATTATTTTTTTCGAATGCAGGACGCCAATAATTTTCTTCAGCTGAAATTAGTGACTTCATCTTTGTCAAATCAATGTAGTCCCATGCAGCTTTTAGAATTAGTTGTGCATTTGTTGAAAAGCAATATTTGTGTGAATCATAGATGCTCTGTATCACCACTTGTACTAGTAGTAATAATTTGTTCATTACATAGTAGTAGTTCAAGGTGTAACCTTTGACCTTTTTTGCTGTTCAAAAATAATCAGTGCTTTAGCTTTCAACCTCTAGATTTGAAGAAAGAATAAGATCAACAGTTGGGCAAATCTGATGCCTTTTGTTTCAATGCTGTACTAACCCAATCCAATAGTAGTATTTTGCATTTTCTGTTGCATCCCTTCTTGTTGTTGCTTGCAAAGGTCAGCAAATAGTGAAGCATTTGGAATAGGTTGTCAAATAGATCTCATTTCTTTCTGAGCAATTTATTTCTTGAACTAAAAAGGGTCAGTTCCACCAGTGCTGGTTATTTCTTTGATATGCTGATGCTGCTGGTGTATCTGATAGCCAGAATTAATTATTTGTTTAGCCGCAGACTACTACTAGTAGTAAGAAATTTCATTATTAGTACTAGTAGGAATCTTTGTGTTCAAATTAGATGCTTTGTCATACTACCATTTCTATTTCCATTTCCATCTGTAAGAAGCTCTGATCACAAGGATACACTGCAGCTGAAATATCAGTAGAATCTTCGTTATAACAAGGTGAATAGTACAGCTAGTACTAGTAGATAGTCTTCCAGTGGACAAACAAGAAGAACAATATGCTGGTTGGGCATACTACTAGTAGTTGTTGTGTCTGAATGGTTTTTGCAATGGATACATATGTACAGTATGGGAATGCGTATTTACGATGAGGAAGCGTGCGTACGATACAAGTGTATCGATATGTACAATACGGAATTACGGATACATATCGATATGATTGGACATACCATTTCTACCTACATATTGTAAGGTACTGTTCCTATGTATACATCATACAATCCATCTTACCAAAAGGTCTAAGATATACAAGGTACGGTGACATTGCAAAGAACAAAGATGTCATGAGTCGGGAATAGAAAGAACCTCATGTGGATTCAGTACCAGAATCTACATAGGGATCTAGTTGGAACTCAAGAATTCTTGTGTTAACGCAGTGACACTTTAATTTTATAATTTTATCATTCGTACACACTTGACACTTAAATAGTACACGTGATCTTGTGCACAGTAACTACTACCACGTTCTAACATGTAAAATTAATGACCAGTCAACAAATATAACTGGATAAGTCAATCAACCATGGTGAAACCAAACAAAATGCAAAGAATTTATTTAAACAACATTGACACTCACACTGATCTTGCCTCGGCCTTGTTAACAACTTTGACACAAGCAACAAGATTAAAAAGGTTACCATCTTTGTAGAACACCCAGCCCAGACAGATTTGAGATTTACGGAAGAGCAGATAGACAAGAATTGGCAGATGGTCCTAGCACACTAGCCCAGACAGAATTGGAACAACATGTGGCAAGGTACTGACAGATTAGTAAGAATAGGAAGGACCAACAAGGATCAGTGGAAAACAGCACTTAAGGCATTCAGAGAATTCTACACCCCATCTAAGCAAGCCAGAGATGAAGCCATTAATTATTTACAATCAGATGCAGTCCGTACTAGTAAGACCCAGGGAAGCTCTTGCCACTCACACACTGAGAACATCTTAACCTATTGTGCCAGAGCCAATCTTCTTCATGGCATCTGGCAGCCGCTATCTGAAAGGGAAATAAAGGAGATTCTTTTCATGTCCTTCCCCAAGCCTTGGCAGGATAAATACACCAGCACTGGATGAGATATCCTTGAAGATTCCTCCAAACAAATAGTAAGAGGATTCATGACTGACCAAAAGGGAATGGCAGATGAGAATGAGAACCAATCAAGAAAAAGGGCAGCAAACAACTCAAGTGAACACAGGGGAAGGAAAGGGAAACAAAGATGGAGCAACAGCACTGGTACCAGCACTGATCAGAAAAAGGAAAGACAAAGGAAGATTAATGAAGCCCCCTGTAGGAAACACAATGGAGAGCACACCTGGAGAGGATGCCCATTCAATAGGAGAGGAAGGAATTATCGTGGCAACCAAGGAGGAAGCAACTGAGGAGGCTCAAACTCAAATGGAACCAATAACATCAATTGGACCAACACTGGCTACACTCCAGGCACCTACCAACTTGCTGATTCCAGTTCAGCAACAACCACAACAGCCTCAAACTTATCAACTCACTCCAGTTCAAGGTGGTTCTAGTGGTCCTCCGAGCCACATTTCCATGCAATCCAGCATTCCAACCAATAACTCCACACCGACCGTTTAATTTCAAGGCCTTAATCAGCAGTGGTGACAATCACAGGAGGAGCCAGTGCAAAATGAGCTGTTCCTTGCACTGCCTCCGCAACCAACTACTCGATCACCAGAATCAAGTCTAGAATTGTTTGGCCTTGATGAGGAAGCCCTTAAGAACCCAACATCAGCAACCTTAAGAACACTGAATCCAGATCTCCTACCAGTTGTGATACTGGTATCCAAGGCAGTCCAGGGAATCCCAGTGATGAACACTTTCAGAGTCCTCTTAGACAGTGGCAGCACTATGTGTTTGATTCACGAGCGTTGCCTTCCACCAGGAACAGTGCCATCCATGGACACTAATCGCCCTGTTAAGACAATGGCCCAAGGCAGCTTCAACACTTCTAAGTATGTGTTCATCTCTCACATACAATTGCCTGAATTTGGCAATGGAAAGTTCATCAAAGGAATCAATGCAAGGATCTTCTCAGCACCCTGTAACTATGATATGATCCTTGGAAGAAATTTTCTCCATATGTCTGGGATAGTTCTCTACTTCTTGAAGCACACCATCAAATGGTTGGATTTATCTATAGAGATGAAGCCATTAGGTCATTTCAGTGATCCCCAGCAAGTGGCAGAGGCCATGTGGTTGGCAGAGGATGATGAACTCTTGGACGGAGGTTTTCTAGAGTTTCATCTACTCCCCCCATCCTGTCAACGGACAGATAGTGAAAGTTAGTAGACTGAAAGTCTGTTACCAGGCCCAGCTGGTGCATCCAGTACTGCTTTGATATTGTTCTTGTAATAGCCAATTACTACACCTGCTTCTAAATTTGGTTGATGTTGAGAAAGCAAAATCTAGTAGTAACGGTCCCCCTGTCCCCCCCCCCATCTCCAAAATTCCCACACCATTGCACATTGTTACCAGGACCACTTGCTGCGCCTGCTGATATATTAGTAGTAGTAGTATTTGCTCTTCTTGTTTGTCACAGGCTACTACTCATAGTACTACTAGTACTAGTACTATCCACAGCAAGATGAGAGGAGGATGAGGATGCAACAAGAACAACAACAAGAACAACAAGAAATAACCACAGCCATCATGAACACCACCACCACCAACAAGAAGAAGAACAAGCACCAGGTCTTACTACTACTAGTAGTAGTAGAGTAGAGGTAAATAGGTACTACTACTAGTAGTAGCTGCTAGCAACAAGAACACCAGCACCAGCAGGGACCACTACTAGTAGGTAGTAGCTACTAGTAGTACGACTACTACTACTAGTACTACTACTAGTAGTAGTACAACTACATACCCAAATATTGACTTTCCTATTTAGGCTATGGTGGAAACGAGCAAGTTAGCACTGCTATTACTATCAAGTAGTACAGTATTAGGAGTACTACTACTACTACTAAATCTAGCCTACTCAGATAGACCTGCAGCACTAGTAGGAGTACGTACTACTAGTAGTGCTTCGTACACACCGTCCGCCGGTACGTACATGTTACGTACGGTTTCTTACAGTATCGAGGAACATTTTCTATTACAGTACTTTTCCTCTCCAGTCTTCCACGTGGAATTGACAACCGTGCACATCATACTGACGTTGTCATGTCAGGTTGCGCGTGCACGGAATGAATAAGCATTAAAAAGTAACGGCCACTGTGGGAAGACCTTAAAGCTACTTGTACCGGTAGCACAAAAAACCTACTGCAGTACGTAAACTTGTTACAAACAAACCGTCCACCTGGAATCATCATCCTCTGATGTACTAGACGCCGCTCACCACAAATATTTTTTCAAAATCAAGTGCCTCCTTCGACACACCATAGGATATCATATCGAGCATCAAACAATAATACGGTAGAAGATGGGAAAGAAAGCAAAGTCGACGAAGGGAGCGCTTCGAGCCAAGGAGAGAAAACTCGACAAATCCACTCTTNAATAGCTATGGAAGCTGGGTTCACTGTTCTACCAACTGGTGGTGTCAACTTGGAAATTACGAGTAGAAAGTAAGAGATTGAAAAGGTGACAAAGAGTCTGCACAAAACGTAATGGCAAACATAACACAAGTGATTTTTTCAACAATCATTATTTTTTTCAAATGCAGGGCGCCAAAAATTTCCTTCAGCTGAAATTAGTGACTTCATCTTTGTCAAATCAATGTAGTCCCATGCAGCTTTTAGAATTAGTTGTGTATTTGTTGGAAAGCAATATTTGTGTGAATCATAGATGCTCTGTATCACTACTTGTACTAGTAATAATTTGTTCATTACATAGTAGTAGTTCAAGGTGTAACCTTTGACCGTTTTTGCTGTTCAAAAATAATCAGTGCTTTAGCTTTCAACCTCTAGATTTGAAGACAGAATAAGATCAACAGTCAGGCAAATCTGATGCCTTTTGTTTCCCAATCCAATAGTAGTATTTTGCATTTTCTGTGGCATCCCTTCCTGTTGTTATTTCCAAAGGTCAGCAAATAGTGAAGCATTTGGAATAGGTTGCCAAATAGATCTCATTTCTTTCTGAGCAATTTATTTCTTGAACTAAAAAGGGTCAGTGCCACCAGTGCTGGTTATTTCTTTGATATGCTGATGCTGCTGTATCTGATAGCCAGAATTAATTATTTGTTTAGCCGCAGACTACTACTAGTAGTAGTAAGAAATTTCATGATTAGAAGTACTAGGAGGAATCTTTGTGTTCAAACGAGATGTTTTGTCATACTACCACCATTTCTATTTCCATTTCCATCTGTAAGCTCTGATCACAAGGATACACTGCAGCTGAAATATCAGTAGAATCCTCGTTATAAGGTGAATAGTACAGCTAGTAGTAGTAGTAGTAGACAGTCTTCCAGTGGATAAACAAGAAGAACAATATGCTGGTTGGGCATACTACTAGTAGTTGTTGTATCTGAATGGTTTTTGCAATGGATACATCCTTACAGTATGGGAATGCGTATGTACGATGCGGAAGCGTAGGTAGGATACAAGTGTATCGATATTTACAATACAGAATTACGGATACATATCAATATGATTGGACACACCATTCCTACCTACATATTGTAAGGTAATGTTCCTATGTATACATCATACGATCCATCGTACCAAGAGGTCTAAGATATATGAGGTACGGTGACATTGCAAAGAACAAAGATGTCATGAGTCGGGAATAGAAAGAACCTCATGTGGATTCAGTACCAGAATCTACATAGGGATCTAATTGGAACTCAAGAATTCTTGTGTTAACGCAGTGACACTTTAATTTTATAATTTTATCATTCATACACACTTAACACTTAAAAAGTACACATAATCTTATGCACAGTAATTTCTACCACATTTTAACATGTGAAATTAATCACCAGTTAACAAATATAACAGGATAAGTCAATCAACCATGGTGAAACCAAACAAAATGCAAATAATTCATTTAAACAACATTGACACTCACACCGATCTTGCCTCAGCCTTGTTAACAACTTTGACACAAGCAAGATTAAAAAGGTTACCATCTTTGTAGAATACCCAGCCCAGACAGAAAGGAGAGGAACTGGGAGAAATGCAACAACGATTGAAATCCCAGCAAAGAGGTTAAGAAGGAATTGCTCAGTCTTCTCACGATAACATGGAGTACAGGAGTTGTTCTAGTACATTGAGGAAGCCTTTCTTGAAGATAGCAGATAGACGAGAATTGGCAGATGGTCCTAGCACACCAGCCCAGACAGAATTGGAGGAACAACATGTGGCAAGGTACCATCAGATTAAGAATAGGAAGGACCAACAACAAGGATCAGTGGAAAACAGCACTTGAGGCGTTCAGAGAATTCTACACCCCATCTAAGCAAGCCAGAGATGAAGCCATTAATTATTTACAATTGGATGCGGTCTGTAAGACCCAGGGAAGCTCTTGCCACTCACACACTGAAAACATCTTAAGCTGTTTTGCCAGAGCCAATCTCCTTCATGGCATCTGGCAGCCGCTATCTGAAAGGGAAATAAAGGAGATTCTTTTCATGTCCTTCCCCAAGCCTTGGCACGATAAATAACCAGGGCTGGACGAGATATCCTTGAATATTCCTCCAAACAAATTGTTTTCTCCATATGTCTGGGATAGTTCTCTACTTCTTGAAGCACACCATCAAATGGTTGGATTCATCTATAGAGATGAAGCCATTAGGTCATTTCAATGGTGATCCCCAGCAAGTGGCAGAGGCCATGTGGCTGGCAGAGGATGATGAACTCTTGGACGGAGGTTTTCTACTACTAGAGTTTCATCTACTCCCCCCATCCTCCTGTCAACGGGCAGATAGTGAAAGTTAGACTGAAAGTCTGTTAGCAGGCCCAGCTGGTGCATCCAGTACTGCTTTGATATTGTTCTTGTAATAGCCAACTACTTCAGCTGCTTCTAAATTTGGTTGATGTTGAGAAAGCAAAATCTAGTACTAGTAGTACTAACGGTCCCCCTGCCCCCCCCCCCCTATCTCCAAAATTCCCACACCATTGTTGTTACCAGGACCACTTGCTGCGCCTGCTGATATATTATTATTATTAGTAGTAGTATTTGCTCTTCTTGTTTGTCACAGGCTACTACTCATAGTACTACTACTACTACTACTAGTAGTAGTACTATCCACAGCAAGATGAGAGGATGAGGATGCAACAAGAACAACAAGAAATCACCACGGCCATCATGAACACCACCACCAACAACAACAAGAAGAACAAGTACCAGGTCTTACTACTAGTAGTAGTACAACTACGACGACTACTACTACTAGTACTAGTAGTACTAGTAGTGGTAAATACTAGTAGTAGCACCAACAACACCAGGGACCACTACTAGGCAGTACTACTACTAGTACAACTACTAGTAGTAGTACATACCCAAATATTGACTTTCCTATTTAGGCTATTGTGGAACAGAGCAAGAAGTTAGCACCGCTACTACTATCAAGTAGTACAGTATTAGGATTACTACTAGCTAGCTACTACTACTACTAAATCAAGCCCACTGGTGAGATAGACCTGCAGCACTAGTACGAGTACTACTAGTAGTGCTTCGTACATACCGTCCGCCGGTACGTACATGTAACGTACGGTTTCTTACAGTATCACGAGGAACATCTTCTATTACAGTACTTTTCCTCTCCAGTCTTCCACGTGGAATTGACAACCGTGCACATCATACTGACGTTGTCATGTCAGTTTGCGCGTGCACGGAATGAATAAGCATTAAGAAGTAACGGCCACTGAGGGAAGACCTTAAAGCTACTTGTACTGGTAGCACAAAAAACCTACTGCAGTACGTACAGTAAACTTGTTACAAACAAACCGTCCACCTGGAATCATCATCCTCTGATGTACTAGACGCCGCTCACCACAAATATTTTTTCGAAGTCAAGTGCCTCCTTCGACACCCCATAGGATATCATATCGAAGATCAAACAATAATACGGTAGAAGATGGGAAAGAAAGCAAAGTCGACGAAGGGAGCGCTTCGAGCCAAGGAGAGAAAACTCGACAAATCCACTCTTCCTCCCCCACCAATTTCGGTATCTGAGGAGGTAAGAAATTACTTTGTCGTTGGAGCGAGAAGCMGCACACGAGGGACTTCGTTCAAGTGTATATTTTTGTTGTTCWCAGCAAAAGTGTCGACTCACCAGCTTTTCATCTCTCTACATCTAGGTTGGTTCGGCAAAGCTCTTGGAKGAGCCTTCTCTCCCTGGGTCGGGATACAAGGCGCTTGGCCAGGACGGTTACGATGACGGCGGTGTCGCCGATTTGACCTTGGTCATCGATTTGGACGACAACGTCCTTCGACGCAAGCGGGGTGAAACCGACTACTTTACGTCACTGAAGGCCGACTTGTTGCCCCGTGTCACGAAGGGACCAATGGCTCACCTTCCAAGACGTGAGCAAAAGATCAAGCTAGCTAAGCTGCTCTTTTCGGACGAAGAAACCGAAGAAGATAAAACCCCTTCGGAAGTTTGGGCCGATAATTACGATCCTGAGGATGATGACGATTACGAAACAAAGAAGAACCGATATGACAATCTTGCTTCGGCTCGCATGGCCCTCAGCCTTAGTAGTGTTCTYAGAGAACCTGCTTGCGCAAGTCTCAGTCTGTCTGAGATTAGTAAGCGTCGCCTTGCATGCTACGGAAAAGCAGGAGGCGAAGATGCTCTCAGATGTGCCATCAAGGCAATTGAAATTGCCAGCACAGGATTCTGGGATCGTGATGAAATCGAGTTGGAGGTAAGCATTAGTTCAGCAGTCCTGTACCGAAAACCTTGGTTTTCCACTTTGATTTGTAGGCGCAAYGATGAYATATTTTATTCGATCCTCACGATGTTCTTGCGTTGCACTTTACATCAATCGTAATATCAATTTGATTTCAGTGTGAAGAAAGTCCKAAGGTCGATCCCAATCACGAGAAAAATGCAACGGCACCTGGACTTAGTCACCCTGACTCCTTGAAACTTCGACCAATCCGTGTGTCAGAGCTATGTCTACGATCTGCATACCTCCATAAGGGAAATGCATTGGCTGCTCTTGGTCGCGAGGCCGAGGCCAGAGAAACTTATCTCAAAGTCATGCCCATGCTTGAACCAGAACCTCGTTGTGGCCGCTTAGACTGGGAACGCGTCTCAATTTATGTAAATGTTGGAAACACCTTCAGTCGGGAAGGAGACTTCGAGAAGGCCGATGAACAGTACGCTAAAGCTGAAGCTCTAGGACGGGAGCACATTACCGCTTCTGAGGGCAACCAAATTGATGGTATGGGCATTGTCGTCATTGCCATGCGTGCACGTGCTTTCGCCTTGAAAAGAGCTGGCAGAGAGGATGAGGGAAAGAAGGTTCTAAAGGACGTCATCGCAATGCAGATCAACCTGAACGCCGAAAACGARAAGAARAAGGCAGAACAAAAAGCCGAGGAAGAGAAGAAGGCTGCCGAATTAAAGGCTGCTGCTGAGGCTAATGCCAGTGCCTAAGCGCGGCACGCCAACGTGACATGAATATTGAACTGAAGTTTTATCGACCTTGGCCATGCGAATGAAGACAATCAACATCAGCCCTACCTTAKTTTTGCGTACGGTTGGTTTATTGAGGAGAGCAAGTGCATGGTGACACTATGTTGACGTTTTTAGCCCAAGTAAACTTTTCTAGATATAGTTTCAGATGAACGGTATCAGTTATCTGCCACATTTGCCGTCCCAAATATTCTCAGCAGCAATATTAATATTTATATTGCGTTAGATGATCATTCCCATGATATGGAGAATTGTTTTCTAAAAAGACGGAATGAACATATGATGTATGTTATCTCCGGCAAGTTCATATATAAGGAAATGTCACCTGAAGCAGRACACACTGTATGACCACATTTCAGATGCCTTAGTATACTTGGAGGACTGAGGTTGTTCGGTCATTGCAGGTAATACAATACCTCTGTATGSTACGCTCGTTCCTATTTTGAATGCTTTCTGAACCTYTGTACGGTATCTCAGGTATCTTYAGATTATTGCCCATCACTAAAAACGAAATCTGAAGTTGCCCTAGAAATGATAAGAACTCGTGATAGCAATTGAAAGATAGTTTCCCAGCAAACCAACGTTCAATTATTATTTTTTTCAAAGAAACAACTGAAGTTCGTTCCGTATGTTCGTCTGATTATTATGATTTTCCAGTTTTTCTTCGAGAAATAGAGTTACATCACACTTGATGCTAGTTTGATACTGTATTTTTTAAATCAAAWAGGGAGGAGCTTCTAAAAATAATCATGTCAAACAAAAATTCTAACCAATGAGATGTTTACCTTTGGAGTCTCGTCTTAGGTCTATTCRAGCGCGCATTGTGCGCGAAGATTTGATTACCATGAATATTTTTGGCACTCACGTCACAGCATCATACTYTGTCGGCTTGTGCTCTGATGGATTGATTGATGAAAATCTTTCGTATTTCAAGTTCTATTAGCAATATAGCAGTACCTGGTACGAGTAGTCGCTTTCAACACACGCAATCGACGTACCGCATGGTCCGCGTGGGCACGTTAGATACCTCGTTTCGACCGGAACACCTCGTTTTGATGTTTTAGGCCTCGTAACTGTTCTAAAGATAGAACTAACGAAAGGACCATAATTGCATTATCATCATTGCCGTAATATAGTCTTGTTGAAATGAAGCTGCAAATCTTCAAGATATTGACGTTGCTGAACGTTGCCGCAACTGCGTCGGCAACGACTGCGGCGGGAGCGCCCCCAATCGGCAACATGAACCGTGCCCATGGTATGTCACAACCAACAATCGATGGAACGAAAACTGAAACTTTTTGGGGACTGAACCTGATAGTTTCATTTGAGACTGGATGCTTTCGTCATTACAGATGATGCCCAGTCATGAATTTCTTCTTCTCATACCTTTTGGTTTGGTTACTTTTCTCGTCGACGTAAAAATATTTCGATTTATTCTATTCTGTACATGTTGATGGTGCAYACGGAACAAAAGCTGTGGAAGCAAAAGCCGTTGAAGATGGCTATGATTACATCATCGCTGGTGGCGGTTTAGCAGGTTGTCTGTTGGCGGATCGACTCTCCGCTGACGGAAAAAAAGTTTTGGTTTTGGAAGCTGGAACCCCAGATTACAATTCCATGATTGTCCGTATCCCTGCCGGAATCCTCCGCCTCTTCCGAAATACCAAATACGATTGGCAACACGAAACAGGTGGCGAGAAGGCATGCAATGGGCGCAACGTTTTCTTGCAGCGAGGTAAGGTCCTTGGTGGTTCTTCCTGCACCAACGTCTGCCTCCACCACCGTGGATCTGCCCAAGACTACGATGATTGGGGTATTCCAGGCTGGAAGGCTTCGGATGTCTTGCCTTTCTTCAAGGCGAGCCAAAAGGATATGACGGACCGCTCCCCGGAATTTCACGGAAAAGATGGGGACTGGGTCATGGATGAMGTTAAGTACCAAAATCCTCTGAGCAAGAGATTCCTTGAGGTCGGCGAGAAGGCCGGCCTTGGAACCAACGATGACTTCAATAACTGGTCCAGACCGCAGGAGGGTGTTGGCCGATTTCAGGTATCGGAAGTCAACGGAGAACGTTGCTCTGGAGCGAAAGCATTTATTTCCAAGGCATTGAAGAGAAAGAACTGTGAAGTTCGCACGGGCACAATGGTTCGTCGTATCGATTTTGATGGATCCAAGACCGCTACKGGGGTCACCTATGATTTGATGGGCGACGACACTATGACGGTAAGTGTCTTCTTTGTRCCTGATCTTGTGAGGRAAGGCGGTTAATTTTTCTTCTTGCATCGTAGTTTTGACATCTCACTCTGATCACAWTTTATGTGTTCCTACATCTAGCCTTTCAATGCAAAACTCAACGACGGAGGCGAAGTCATTGTTACATCTGGAGCTATCGCTTCGCCCCAGCTTCTTATGTGCAGTGGAATTGGTCCAGCTGATCACCTGAAAGATCATGGTATCCCTGTTGTACATGACAATCCTTCCGTGGGCAAAAACTTGCAGGATCACCCCGCCGCAGTCGTTTCGTTTAAGACCCCCCAAAAGGGCGTTAGTGTTACTTCCAAATTACGATTATTTGGTTTGACAAACCCGTTCCCAATCATTCAATGGCTTCTCACGAAGACAGGGTTACTTACTTCGACAGGTTGCGATCACGGGGCCTTTGTCCGAACTTCTGCTTCGTCTAGGGGSCAACCCGATCTTCAGATTCGATTCCTTGCTGCTTTGGCTCTTGGACCTGATGGTATGACCACTTTTACTCAGTTCCGAAATAAAAAGAACCACGCAGATGGATATTCTTTCCAGAGTGTTGCTTGTCGAGCCAAGAGTAAGGGGTGCGTCCGCCTGGCGTCGTCCAACACCCACGTCAAACCCAAAATCGATGGTGGATACCTCAGTGATCCCGCCGATCTGAAGACTTTGAGAGAGGGCATCAAACTAGGGCGACAGCTCGGAAACAGACCCGAATGGGGCGAATATTTGGGAGAGGAGGTATACCCAGGTATCGACGTTCAAACCGATGCACAAATCGATGAGTACATCAAGAACACTATCCACACCGCAAATGCCCTCACAGGAACATGCAAAATGGGAACAGGAAAAGATGCTGTCGTATCACCCGACCTGAAGGTGATTGGTGTCAACGGAGTCCGAGTAGCGGATTCATCAACCCTTCCAAACATTCCTGGAGGACAAACCGCGACACCGACAGTCATGATTGCGGAACGAGCTGCTGCCTTTCTTCGCAGTCCCCAACAGTCGGTGACTACTACTACCGAGGTCATCATGGAAGAGAAGGCTGTCGAGGAGCCAGCACCCGAGTTGGCAGCTGCCTAAAATTTCCATGTCACGGAAAATTGCACAATCTGGGATCATTTTGAAATGATAGATAGGCCCAACAATATGGCAGTCTCACTTCAAAAATATGTATAACGCGAATGCAGAAAACCTTTAAAATTAGAATCAACGTACATTATCCCACTTTTGGAAATACTTCGATGTGCAACAGGCACCCTGATAGTATCAGCATTTTTTACACATCTAATGAAAACAAGCTTTGTCAATTAGTCGGTTTATGAAAGACTTGTGAGCGGCGTCAATGGAATCGGCCTGTCTAGATGAGGTGCTACGATGTCCAACTTTTCCTCAGCGCTGCAACATTTATGGCCAGAAATGAATTCGATGCGTTGACACAATACTTTTATCGATCAAATACCAGTATCATGTTGTCGTAATTGATATTTACAGGAATATGCTATAAGCTATTTCGATGATTCTATAATTGCCGAGTGATCAATTAGATAGAACTTCTACTGTACACGCGCCTCGTCTTGTACTGCATTATGAGGCTTACAACAACGCATGTCATGGAAAGTAATACGACAACAAGATGTGTCTCTTGGAAACATTCAATCCCGTAACAGGTGACTCCATCATTATCACCCGTACCATTATCGTGTGGGTCGATGTGTTCCTCATAAACACGCTGTGCGACTACTTTGGACAAAAGGAATGTTCCAGCAGCCGATGTAAAGCCATCATAAAACATATAATTCGCTCCGACGTGGGCTGTGCCGAAGAATTCACCGACACAAAGCACCAAAAGTGGCCAAAACATGCCAAAGGCGATACCGCTTAGAGTTACGCCGATCACAAAGAATACTTGATCAGTGGCGAAGGCCAATATTGTATGCGCTACAATTGACACCATACTCGCAGCGACAAAAAAGAAGGGACGAGGGACCCCTTTGTCGATACAACAACGTTGCGTCTCGAAGRTGAGTGCGGATTCTGACAAAGCTCCAGTAATGACTCTCCCTCCAGATTGCGCTACCGAGAAAAGGGCCATGGCAGCTGGGGTAACCGCATTATTAAATCCCAACGACTCAACCATTTGCGCAAGGTTGTTCGTTTCGACAGTACCACTACCYGCAAGAATAGTCGTCGTCCACAGCATCATCCACGCAGATGGTGACTGAAGCATTTGGAAGAGGTTACGGTCTTGTGTCACTCTAGCAGATCGCCTCGTAGCAGAACCATCGACTGATTCTTCGTCCAAGATCTCCTCTTCGTCGTTTGGGAAAGACTCCTGGTTCATCGGTTCCAAGGAAATGTCGCCAGTGCTTGAGTTTTCATTACTTATTATGACAGTTTCGGTGTCMACATTGCTTTCCTCGTGAAGCGCCAATTGCTCGTATTCGGCATCACTCCTTGAGCCTCGTCCTCCACTGACACTAGCAGCTTCTGTCCTTGGTTCTGATTCCCAATCGCTTCGTTGCGGCAGAAACAGCAAGGAGGCAATTGGTGCTATCCACACAAAGAGAAGAAGCGCAGTCATGAAAAAATTCGAAGATGGTTCCTCGTGATTGCTATTTCGAGCATCATGGTAAAGGCCCAGAAGCGCATTGCCGATGACCAGAGTAGCTAGAACCACCAACGATACGTACATCACCCGGAAATGTAGTGGCGTAAGTACGTCCGGAACGAATGTTTCGTTTGCCTTGCTCGGGAGACCAATCGAGCTTGGAATTGCTGCTGCCGTGATGAAGAAAAAGGCACAGAGTGGCAAGAAGTCGAGGTCGGACATGCTCGGTTGTCGTATCGATTGGAAGAGGCAGGCGTAAGCTCCGCTGCCCAAACCGACGAAGCCCTTGGCAATACCGACGGCGCTGCCTTTAGATCCCGGACCGCATTGACACGAGATAACCTTGAAAACAGAGCCTGTGACCAGCGCACAAGAGAGAAAGATTCCTATGTTTAGAATGGAAAGAATCATTACARCAAACGTTGGGTCTCCATTCTCATCCACAAAGTAAGGGAAGTGTCCCTTGGCAACCGACCAAAACAGCATTAACGAAATAGCACCCATGATCCCACCAATACAGATACCATTTCTGGTTCCAAATCGATCAGCCATTGCTCCAGGAATAAACGAGAAAAGGCCGGCACTGAAAAATACCGCCGATATAGTGTCGAGCTGACCCTGTGTGAGGTGAAGCCTTTTCTTCAGAGCACCTCCGTACAATCCAAAGGCATAGGTTGTTCCGCCAGTGGTGATCGAAGCTAAGATAGCGCACGCAATTCGAGGAATGTTGGTTTTCATTATTGGAAGATTTCGCATATTTTCGTCCAGAGGAGAGTATCTTTCAGCTACTGAAGTCTCAACATCAGACGTTGAAATCGTTGTTCTCGTTCTCGGAGAGCGTTCGACACTGCCGTCGCTGCTGTAGTTCGAGTAGCTATCAATATCTTCATCTCTTTCACTCTGTTGYCGTCGTTGGCGCCTAAYAGCTCTGGCCATTGTTGAGAATCSKTGAATTGGCTAAAGTGTAATACAGTAAATTGTACTGTAACAGGTAACAAGGCATTCAATCAAATGGTACCGGTACCGTAGAAGCGGCGCATCTCGTCATAAAAGAAAAACTCTACCGATATTATGATAATGAAGAACGCGTCTGGCACCACGAAATGTCCCAGTTTCACGAGCATCGGATGACCAAAAACATGTTTTCAACAAAGCAGAAGGTCTATTTGTTCACTATCTACTCGGGATTTACCCAATTTACCCTCCAAATTATGGTGTAACGGCAATCGCGCTCGAGAAACGTCCATACAAGAACTACGAGTATGTTTCAAAAATGAATTACGCACGTACCAGTACGAGTACCGGTCTACCTTATGCGGATACGTAACGTACGTATTACGGTAAAGAGGGGTCTAACTTAGAGCCCAAAATAAAATAAAACCGGTATTTTGTGGCACCTCCGGTYTGAAAGATTCGTACGAGTGGCATTTTTCTCTCTCACGATTTTTATTTTCGATCTCGTTTCCATTGTGCCTTCACTCCTATCAGAAATTAGGATTGCATTGTAATACCGATGAGCAACATATTACTTGCCTCAATCCCGCTTCTGCTCCCAACTTTGGTTGCGATAGATTTGTTGGAAAATCCCTGGACAGTAGCCAATTCGTGGTTCAAGGAATCTTCGCCGTCGAACGGTAACAATGAAGGCGCCGAAATTCCTTCCGTGAGCTCGCAGCTCCTAGCATACTTGATCATGGGTGTATCTGGTTACGTGCTGACTAATAAGCTGGTCCTTAATATCAAGGTATGTATTTCTTATATCATTATGATTCTTCTGATTTCAAAACTAGGTTTTGCGTAGTTTTGATCCCATCGAAGTCAGCAATTRCAATTTCTTTCGCACTAATGTACTTCTCGTACTTCTCTGCCATGATTGGAAATTCCGGTTACTTTCAGGACTACACTCTGCGAAAKGGAATATTCGGAAAAGATCTAGGAAAGAGAGGGACAGACTTGGCTGATGTACCCGTGTAAGTTTGAATTCTTCAACTGGTTGGCGTCACGAATACCGAAACTGGGTCCATGCTGGAATTTTGTCTTGTAGGGTTTGCGAATCCAACACTTCAACTTAGATCAGCAACCTTACTTGAAGCTCTTTGTTCTTGTCTTGGTTTCTTTGTCGCTGTGATTGAATGTTCATTGAACCGAATCGAAATAATGTCGCATCGAACCGTCGTAGACCCGAAGCGTTGGGAATAGTTCCGGGAGCCATATTTTTGATATGTCTAATTTTTTGTCTGGTTGGATATGCTACCTCTCATCCATCAAAGTTGCTGGATTTGAATTCCGCCTTACTGTCGATTTGCTTCATGCTTTTCTTGGGGTTCACGGACGACGTATTGGACTGGCCCTGGAGGTACAAACTTGTTCTTCCAACCGTTGCGTCTCTGCCGCTTTTGTGTTGTTACAATGGAAGTACGTCCGTCGTCGTTCCGATACCCCTCAGAGCTCTACTTATTCAAACGCAGGAATTGACACTACTCGGAAATGTTGCAAGCTGGTTTGTTGAAATCGATGTGGGGAGCAATGGGAAATTTTTAGACTTGGGGTTCTTCTATTTGTTGTACATGGGCATGCTAGCTGTTTTTTGCACAAATGCTATCAATATCTACGCAGGGATCAACGGTCTTGAAGCGGGCCAATCTTATGTGATCGGATGCGCCATCCTACTYCATAATTTCATCGAAATACGGTCCCAGTCCTTGACCCAAGAAAACCATCTTTTTTCCGCAATGATTATCTTGAGCTTTGTGGGAGTCACGCTGGGATTATTAAGACACAACTGGTATCCCGCAAGCGTGTTTGTGGGCGACACATTTTGCTACTTTGCGGGGATGACATTTGCGGTCGTTGGTATTCTCGGACACTTTAGCAAAACCCTCCTTCTCTTTTTCATCCCGCAAGTAATTAATTTCGTCTGGAGTGTTCCCCAGCTCTTCAAGATCGTCCCATGCCCTCGGCATCGACTGCCTGCCTTCGATGCCTCCACGGGTCTTATGACACCCTCTACATTCGAGTGCAAGCCCAACCAATATCTTTGGTTGAAGAAACTCAACCGCCTTGACGCCGGGGACGTTCGAATCCCAAACATGACTACGATAAACATGGTTCTCTCGATATTGGGGCCAATGAGTGAGAAGAAGTTGTGCACGKTTTTACTAGGCATTCAGCTCACAAGTTGTGCCTTTGGATTCTTCATGCGGTACTACATTGCTGAGTTCTTTTTTTAACGCACAACAATTGATTTGAATTGCTACTGGTAGTTGATTCTGACACTACAATCTGGGACTGTGGTTCATGAAAGAACAGTAAATACTTTTAATGCCCATAATAACAAAAGAGATCTTAATTTTCTATTTGATAATGTTGAACTTCGTAATTKGATTGAATCGAACTTCCTATCGTATTATTTGATTGCATTATACTTTACAACGTTTGTTCGTATTTACACGAAACCCACTGCATCCAGCCAATCTTTCGTAATTTKATTAGACCTTTACATAGCGACTGTGATCTTACTTCATTCTTTGATAGTACCAAAGAGTATCAAGAGTCTCAGGTTCCTTGTTTTTATCGGTGGAGTGATGTGTTGATTCATAATGCTATCATCACTTGGTGCCACGTCGTTTTCAATTCCTTCCAGCTTGTACACACATTCAGTTCTTCGCCGTTTGATTGGGAACTCTCAAAGCCACCGTGTGACCGTCGTATTCCTTGATGATAATCGAAGAAGGACCATCCATTTCAATTGTGATCAAGGGCGATGGTGGATTCTCGTTGTTCGTGCTTGCCGCCTGACAGGGGGTGAGACTCGATGCAAGCCGTGTCAAACTTGTGTAAACACCACTGTCGATATCATCGTGGTTATCGCTAGTCACAGCATCCGGAGTATTTTCTGACGACATTTTCCCTTTTGATATCAGACAGAGCCCATTAATATCATTGACCAAGATACCTCCGATCCCGGCCCTCTGATCACCCGAAACCATGGTTTCGACCAATGGGGATACCTTCGTCGTTCTATGCAAAGAGCTCATCTTTTTCCGTTCGCTCGATTGTCACGTAGTGGTCTASACGAGTGTTTTGTCTTCCAAATAAKAACTCTGCTATTCTGACTATTACAAGAGGTACAAATACTGTACATCAAGTTTGATTGTCATGAATCATGAACTCTTCCCGATTCGTYCAGATGTGAGACGGCATWTMGTTCTGAGCTTTTTGCTTTTTGTCCAGGAGGACCCTCTGGGAATTTACTCTCCTCCTTCTTTTTTTTGGAAGCACGATTGAAACTTCGATCATCGCTAAATACTAAATGCAGTACCGTGAAATACATTAGAGTACGCTACGGTACGGTCCTAGTCCGTACGAGTACGTGCGGTACCGGTATGTAGTTGGTCTGATGAAAAAAAACCTGGTCCAGTTCATTACTGTTCGTCGTACGTACTAAGTACGATTACGCCTAGTCGTATTCGTACCTGAACTCCGTTACATTACCTCTTGTCTGAAACGAAGAGGATTTCAGGAGAGACCATTCCTCCTTCTCACTACATGCTTCCAATTAGCTCGAAGCAACAATACCAGCATGCARAAAGAAGAATGCCAGGTCCCTTAGGTCCAGCTGCCATCCTTGCCGGACCAGGAGCGATAGCGGCAGCCAAACATCTCGCTGTTCGTGCTGCAACCTCTCCAGGGGTAACGTCTACAACGCTCACGGCCATCGTGTTTTATTGGAGCTTTCAGAAGCTACCCGACTGGGTGAAGAAAGACATTTGTTTCCAGAACTTGCTAAAGAATCGCGAAAATATTKCAACGGAGGAACTCGAGGGGCTGTACTCCGTTGTAGACAAGCTTCAAAATGTAGCCAGCAATATTCAAGAATTGGACACAAACATTCCCCAGCTACACGCCGCACTTCTAGCTTACATTCAATTGTCGGGTCAGATCAAGATCCAGCAAGTCAGGGACTATTGTTCCGTACCAGACGATGATAATACGTGCACTTCACAGGTGACAACAGCAATTACGCGAGATAATCTATACGAGACCGCCGGAAGGCCAGTAGATTTGTTTACCTTGCGTTCTCTTGAGATCCGARGTGCTCTKCAATTCGCAACGTTTGCTTATTACGAGGAGTTGGAGGTAAGTTTGTTTCGATATGTAACCCATTGAAGTATYGTGCCGYTGGTTCGGTGTCTTTATTTGTCTTTCGCCTCTTCTTCGTATACAGCACCAAGAGCAACACAATCTTACAAATATACCGGTATCTAATTTTTCGTTATGAAAGACTCTTTCGGAAAAGCTGCATAAAAAGGATTACACCGTGCTCCACCACAAGCTAGTTGATATTCGACCAGGAAGAGTTGCACATTACATCGCGGTGTCACCAGCRGAAAGAMACGTTGTGATTGGATTGCGAGGAACGTCGACGCTCGGCGATCTATTGACGGATTGCTGCGGCCACGCAGTGCCGCTTGTAGATGACGACGACCCTAATGCAGACAAATTGCGCGTAGAAATACAAGCGGAAGTTCCGAACATCGTTCTGGCTAGATCTGATGAASAGACAATGGAGGTTATCAGCGGGCACGAACGAATAGTACTAGAAAATGACGATGATGACGGTGACAACTATACTCGATGTCACGAAGGAATTTTGATCTCGGCACGCAATGTGCTCGATGAAATCGAGTCGTATTTGAAGCCTCTGATTGAATGCAATTATAAGGTTATCCTCTGTGGCCATTCTCTTGGGGGCGGAACTGCTGTCATCGTTGCTACGTTACTGCGATCAAAGTATCCAGRCCTTTGCCTGGATCCCGAAAACAAAATCCATGCGTATGCCTTTGGATCACCGCCAGTGTTAGATCACGACTCCGCTATTGCTGCYGTAAGCTACTGCACTTCTATCATCAACAATGCCGATTTAATATCTAGGCTTAACATCACMAATCTTGCGGTATCACTGGCCTGTTTGCGCAAGATTCAAAGCAAACTAGTAGAAAACGACTTAAGTCCAACTGGTCCTCTTACCAGTGTGGCATTCTTCAACAAGATTGCCGAAGGCCCGAGCGGAACGCCGTTGATGACACTATTGGAGTTGAATGAAACTATAGACGAGGCACACAATAATATTGCGCTCCGCAAGCCAGAGCACCTCTTTGTTGCAGGCAGGGTTTTACTTGCTTTCAATCCTTGGCTTGATGGTCCCGAAGGTTGTCCAGATGATTCTACGACGCCAAACATAGCTACCAACCTGCAATGTGTCGAGACTACCGGAACCAGTCCGGTATTCCAACGCCTTGAAATAGATGGTCTTCGATGTTTCACCAATCATCTAACATCGTCTTACTATGAGATTCTTGGGATGAAGTACGAGTTCTAGTGCCCTGATCTAAACATAATCGCACAATRTGTATGTATACAGTGATGGTTTACAACATCGGTTTTGATTAATTTCTTCTGATGAAGGATGATCTATTGCGATATTGGAACACATCTTGTCAAGAGAGACGAAGATCTGAGAAGCTGGATCCTGCTGAAAGCGTAGATGTTACSATGAAGAAGATCAATACCACCCACTCAAGCATCTCTCTCCAAGCCCGAAAACATTGTCTTATAGGATTCTCCACGTCGCTCTTTCCCTGTTACAAATTCGGATGGTTCCACCTTCTTCTTCAGAATATTACTAACTCCCACRCTTCCAAGCCCCTTGCCGGTGTCGGCATCGTAACACTCAAAGGTTGTGGATCCCGTCAACTCCGGATAAAAAGTGGCTTCTACGCACAACTTTGCTACATCATATCGAGAAATTCTTCCTGACTTCAAATCTCCCTGGTTGAGCTCGATCTCGGATACACCACGAATTGGATCTTCCGTGAGTCCTCCCGGTCGGATTATTGTATATGTCAAGCCTTGTATATCCTTGTACATGGCACGGACGGTGTCCTCTCCTTTTATTTTTTCTTCCATGATTCCTCCGAAAATGTTTAAAAATTTGTAGAYCGGGGAGTCAGGTTTGCTGACACCTCCACTGGAGACGATGACAAGGTGTGGAACCTTATTTGCAATACAAGCCTCAGCAACGTTCCTTAACCCAACGTTGTCGACTACATAGYGGGTGAAAATTATACATTCCAATATATCTGAGACTAGGGAAAACTGACACAAAACACCGTAGTGGAAAGTTCAATTGATTACTTGATTCGATCAGGCGTTCTTACCTTCGGAAGGTGTACCACCTTGTTTGGAAGCAGAGGCTGCAAAGATGACTGCACGGGTTCCTTTKACAGCGGCATCAATCGTCGCTGGAACAGTCACGTCACAGATAGTGGGGAGCAAAAGGGGTTTCTTGGTTTCAGATCCCTCGGCCTCATAATAAATTCCATTCCTTGACGTTGCCTTGACAGCGATTCCTCTGTTCAAAATGTCTTGAACACATTTTGTTCCCGTTTTTCCATTCGATCCAATAACACAAAATGGGAGTTGGGTGTTTGAATCATCCGCAKCAACAGCCCACGACACTCGAGGGAACGATGATTCAATGAGGCCGGCAGTACCAATAATGGCCGTGTTGACAAAATCACGTCTTGTGTTTTTGCTGTTGCCCGTCGTCAGGGAGAGTGCGGTTTGAGGGCCTACCGAAAGCCATAGTAATATGCCTGGAATTGACACGAGTCCTTTCATCGTCCCTTATCTGACCTTTTGAGAAACACTGGATGCTGATTATGTTGTCATCCGATGGATCGGTTAATCGTTGATACCCGAATCTGTATCCGATCATTTCAACATCCACTGCCAACAGGAGTACGATACTGTGCCTGGTACGTACTCGTACGCACACGTACCGCACATACCTCGAATTTGGTGCACACCCTACGTTAATATTACCTGTACGAGTACGTACTACTAGCGGTACGCAGTACTGGTACGTACTCGCACTACGTACTCGTACCTAAGCGACAATGCTGTTGTGTACGTATGGTACGTATGTTACGTATGTACGTACTTCCTATCGATATCACGTAGTAGAAGTACTAGTAGTAGTACTAGGACTGTACTTCTACATTGCTCATCTTCTCCATTTTGCTACCACCTCTGCAACACTAGTAGTAGTAGTAGTATTGTCAATAGTAAAACTACTAGTGGTAGGATTAGTTGTGGTACTACTACTAGCTAGTAGTAGTACTAGTAACTACTAGCTACTACTACTAGTAGCTACTAGTAGTAGTAGTAGTACTACTACTGGCCGTAATCCTTCTTGTTGTCTAGTACTACTAGTAGTACTACTACGTCACACTAAGACTACTTTTCTAGTAGTTACTAGTACTAGCTACTAGTACTAGTACGACAAGAAGAACTACTAGTACTAGTAGTAGTAGTAGTACTAGTACTACTACTAGCTAGTGCCACTAGTAAAGCTACTAGTACAAGTCACGCAAGAAGAGGACGGCGATGAAAAGCTTTCATGAAAGTCAGCAATAAAACTACTACTAGTGGTACTACTAGTACTACTACTACTACTACTTTCAGTAGTACTACTACTAGTACTACTACTAGTAGTATTACTAGTACTGCTCCCTGAAAACAAGAATGCAGATACCAACTAGCAGTACTACTAGTGCTACTAGTAGTAGTGCTACTGGTGATGAATTCGATTCATTCTACTAGTAGTACGTCGCAAGAGATATTGTCGGATGTGGCTAGCTATTATCGAGTGCGTCCGTAATGAAATGTACCAAATGTAGTAGCACCACTAGTAGCACTACTACTACAAGTACTAGTAGTACTACTAGAAGAAGAAYAACCATCCGAGTCATCAAAAGAAATCCCAACGGAGGTATTATCACTTGAATCCAAATCAGATCCGACGCTTTTCACTGCATTGCTTTTGTGTTTCGCGTGGTTTGTCTTGACGCCAGCACCGCTGGTGCCAAAGGAGTAGATAATTTTCTCTTCGTCTGCATTTGTACTGTTCTCATCGACATAACCTGTTCCCTTCGAGATATCTGTCGAGGTTGCGTCACCATCGACGTTCGCTACATTGGCTGACACTTTGGAATCTTCCCAYGTCGCCGCACCCTTCATTTCGTTGGAATGCTCACTTAACGACTTTTGTCGTACAAGTGAGCCAACGCCGTATTCATTCATCCAGACTTCCGCGCTCTCCGCGGTACAACCTTGGTCTATTGGGGATTTTTGACGGCGACCAAGGAGGGTGGTTCGAAAATCCGAATTGTATTTTGGGATCCTGTTTTCTTTCTTTACGATGATTTCGGYAGGGTTGGGGCTGATCTTGTTCTTCTGCAGCACGTCTTGGAGCAATGGATTCCATGGAGAGCATCCMAGACAATCCAAAGATGCTTTTACATATTCTGAAAACGAATTCTCCAAAATTTGTGTGGTAGAAGCTGATTCAAGGTTGCTTGCCATGAAAATGTCCGATGCAGTAGTTTCCTCTAGTATGTGATCTGCACTGGCCACTCGATGTAGAACACCGGTCCTCGGTGAAGCAGGCCCTTCTTTGGAAAAAACCAAGTCGGGCATGAGGAAAAAATGCTGGACTTCCCTCGAAGAATCKAAGATTCCTTCGCCACTTGGATCGACCGTATCGTGGCAGAGACCGCCGTCATCCACGAAACGAAGTAGGAGGGCACAGTCTCTATCCGCTAAAGTTTTCAAGAGCGATTGCACCATGAGGACTTTTTCACGGTGTTCGCCCTCGTCCTCTGCGAGCAATATTGCTGCTTTTATACCGACGGGGATGCCGAAGAGCAACGACGCATTGATGGAATCTATAGGTACGAGCCGAAGGATTTTCATCCTGGCTCTGCTGCTACCCAATATTGCTAGGTCATTGAACGCTTGTTTTGCTCGAATGGAATCCAACCGAAAAGGCATGTGCTTGTAGTATACGTTGAACGAGATTTCGCACGCATCGAAATCGACTGTTTCTGGCAATTGAATGCTTATCATTGGCAATGAAGAGGACGACTGCTGGAGACCAGAGATTTCAGCCTTTCCTTTCGCAGCAGTGATCATTCGACGACACGCATTTCGAGACCATTTCTGGCACAAAAGCCAAAAGCTTTTTGCTGAGCATGCAAAAGTGCTGTTCTCGACAATGGACAAAGCAATATCTATGCGTGAATAGTGTTCGACGAACCCAGGATCGAATTGAATGCGGCTACGATTCGCCTTGAAATCTTGCTCGGCCTTGTTTTCGATGTRCCGATTCAATGTATGGACAATGGCATCCAACCTCTTTTTGTCCACCCCGCATGCCGAAGAGGACTCATCGGAATCACTGTCGTTAGGATCGCGGACGCTGCTAGAGTAATATATGTAGTTCGTGTTGGCTCCTTCCATATGATTGTGAAGGTTATCGGCCTCGCTTCCRTCGGCTACGCATCTSCTCTCGCTTTTTTGATCTTTTCCATCCTGACTGTTGGGGAGATTGGTGTCCTTCACATCATTGTTTGGTTGCTGCACTACACGGACAGTAGTTTCTCCGGTGACCACTACGATTTCGACGCTCTGGATCCGAGTCTTTCGCCAGGCTTGTTGCTGTGGCTGTCCGTGTATTTTTTTCCAAAATGCATCGATCCCGCGCTGATGACCTGGTACATTTCTGTCCAAGAACGCCGAAGCGTCGCTGGTAAAAATAGCAATTCGGGGCGACGTTATTTCCGCTCCTGTTCTTATTGATGACGGGGATCGTTCGCTTTTGTTTCYGGTATTTGGTTGTGGAACAGCAGCAGTGCTTTGGTTTCTCTTGTAGCAATCGTCACAAATAGCAGTGACTTTGGRCACAATTTCGCGAGAGGACAAAAACAAAGCAACGAAAGTTCGGTTATACTAGCCTATGAGCGCGTTTCTGTGTGGTGCAGCAGGGTGACCCACCAAAAGGTTCAAAACACAATGCAGGCCAGGCACAACACCACACAACAACACACAACACCCCACAGCACAATGCAATACAATACATTCCAATTCAACGCAATCTCGTGGAATGGACTGCGTACCGAGATCTCCAAAGACGTTCCAAGAGTCATTTGCCATCAGCCCCTTCGGGAGGTGAACAAAGGATCTGTTCTTCGTGTTTCCATCATTGATGGGTGGTCGGAAGGGCGCCCCCTGTATCTTCGAAGATAGAATAGCATCCAATTCGTTTTCGTTTGGAGACCATTYGCACGTGATTCGAGTTGCACCGCCGCTACYGTTGCCGACGATCCTAGTGGTTTTCCTCGTGGCTTGGTTGCAAAAACTACCGTCGGTGGAGCCGGTACGAGTACTACTAGTAGTCCATGCGATGTGGCTCACCGAAAAGCCCCGGCGGCGAAAGGTAGAACGAAGAAATTCCTGTACCCCTCTTCGAAGGTGATTCCAATCGTCTCTTCCGGACGGGCTGTCGAGGTATCGTGTGTCGAGAGCGATTGCGTAGTTGTGGTCAARCGAAGGACCAGCGGCAGAGGCACCGTCCATAGTAGTAGAATCAGCAAGAGCACCAGTATCACCAGTACCAATAGCATCAATTTCAGACACATTGACAACTGTGGCATCATCTATATTTCTATCAGCGGTCTGTTTGGTTGTCACGACGGCTTTATGCATCGCCGATGGCGARAAGAAGGGGCTCTCTCGGGCGTCTTCGCGTCTCTGTTTGGAAGCACCGATAGCTTTGTTCCTTGTCATGGTATTGTCACTGCTTGTACTAACATTTCCATCTGTGCAATCATCAAATTCGAGTGGGTCGCTTCTCAAAGCGGAATGTGTGTGCTCCTGTGCCTGCGGTTTCGTTTTGGGCTTCGTTTTGATTGTCCCGTTCCCGTGCTGTTCCCGATCTCGATGCTGTCGGTTCTTGATGCTACAGCCACTTTTCGGGATCGACGGAGGCTTCTGACCAGGAATTGAGTRCAGYYCTGATAGAGGATCATCGGTAGAGTTAGAAACACGGAGGTCATTGGTGTTGCTTCTAGCATTTCCATTGCCATTGGAACTGGAAYTGGAATTGCCTACGGAGAATTTTCTCTTTCTTCGGCGACGCGATCGAAACCCRTTTCCTCCTCCGGTAATTGCAGGATCATAGACTTCGGGCATGGTGCATTTGTCTTTTGCTTTGTTTTCTTCTCAAAGATGGATGTTACAATAGTGGTTGCTCCGGGGAGGAAATGACGACCGAAATCAAAATCAAGAATCGTTCTTGCACGGGCGTTTGCCTAGAAAAAAGTGAACAGAAAACACGGTTTTGACCATGAGAAGCAAGAAGATGAATAAATCTAAAATCTACGTACTAGTACAATAGTAATTGTACAGTAATTAGTAATCTAATCCAAGTCTGAAAATCATCGATCTCTCAAAATTCCGACTTCAAACACGACTGGATTTGCGGTCAGACAGACCCACCTTCCTGTTACGGATTCCTGTTACGGATTGGTTGCTAGAAGCGCAACTGGTATGGTATCGGCCTGTACGTACGTACCGTACGATATCGCCGTACGAAGTAAGAACTAAGAACCCTCTAAAAATGGCTCCGACGATGACAGACTTAAAAAAGGTGCCGAAACAGAACAAACGGAAAACAATCACACATCACGAAGCCCAAGGGAGCGAACAATCTATCACGGACAAAAGCAACACATGAGTTGCAAGACACCCAAGCAAATCATTTCATCGTCTTCTTTGATCAKCTTCTTCGCTACTAGCTRCAGCCGGAAATAATCTGGTGATTGGGGAACAAAAATGAGGAAAATGGCTGGCGCAACAATAAAGGGAGCTTCCCGTTTYCTCCGAGGATATCGACCAGCGGCTTCCCTTGCGAATTCTTCCTCTCTTTGTGCCCTACAGAACATTTCGGGCTACCARATTTCGATGGCACCGTTTTGGTCGCCGTCATGCTCGGTRTCCACCCAAAGATTCGCGTCTTCCGAGAGCGCATCACCGCCGACTCGGCAGCGGCAACCAGCACCCCAAACCAAACCGCGGCAACGAAAGCGCCTCGACGTGGCCATTGTTGGTCCACCTAATGCCGGAAAGTCCCAGCTCGTAAACGTCCTCACCCAGTCGCCAATTGCGGCGGTCTCGCGAAAACGGCACACGACCCGGTCCGACCTCTTGGGTGCCCGGACGATCGGTGACACCCAGATCGTCTTCAAGGACACGCCCGGCTTTTTGAGAATAGAAAACGCAAAGGAAGAGCGACTGGACCGGGATCTGATTGCGACGGCAGCTTCTGAGATGCAAGATGTAGACTTCACGCTCTTGGTATTGGACTCGGCTAGGAAATTATCCGAAAACTACCGGCACGCTCTGGTACAACTCATGATAGGCGCTATAAATTCCAATGGCAGAATCGAAGATTCCGATGACCTGGACGACGAAGARGACTCTGATCGAACACCGAAGACCGCTCGCAACAGCAAGGACAATGGAAGCAACAGTAATAGCAATRTAAATAGCAACAGGTACAACAAGGGGAAGTTTGCTATCGTTTTGAACAAGGTGGATCTGGTGAAACCTAAAAAGGATCTGATCTCTCTGGCAATGGATATTGGTTCGATGGCCGACGTCTGCCTAGAAGACCAATTCAAAAAAAACGGCAAGCCATTCGATTTTGAAGCCCAACTAGAGCACTCGCCGATTGTCTTCTACGTCTCGGCACTAAAGGAAGACGGAACCGACGACATCATGGAACACTTGCTGGATCTTGCAACCCCCAGCCAAGAATGGCCGGTGGAACCGGGAAGGGCTACCAACATGACGGTCMAAGAGCAGGTCCAGGAAGTAATTCGCGAAAAGATATATCGATCCACGCACCGGGAGGTCCCGCATGCCGTGCAGCAGGTCAACAGAATTTTTCGAAGAATACCCAACAAAGGTGTGGTCATTCACCAAGACCTAGTCGTCTTTACCAAGAGCCACCACAAGCTTGTGATGGGAAGCGGTGGCGGACGCACCCTAAAACGAATCCAAGAGAGCGCTCAAAAAGACTTGCAAAATATGTTTGGGTGCGATGTCGCGTTGCAGCTCCACGTAAAATTTAGCAAGTCCAAGCAACGGAGAGCACAGAGTGGCGCCGAATACAATCTAGGAGAGGTGAGCCAGTCCGTCCTCTGACGGGCAGGACATACGTCCGCAGGACTMACACCGYARATCGATATGTGATACAAGTAAWCATAGTAGAAGCATAGACCAACCGCATGGCTCCCAAGATGATCACACCAATGTAAACAATCAAAGAATCAAAAGTAAATTTTATTAATCTGGAAATAGCGCAGATCACGACTTCTGTTCTCGTTGAGGAGACGTCGTTCTCACAATTCGGACGACGAMGATTCAGGGATCRTCGGACCCGTGTACGTCGCCCAGGCCTTGTGAGACTCCCACAACTTGATGCGCACCGCACCCTTGAACTCTTTGCACTCGGTTTCGAGAAGTTCGCGTATATCGTCGTGGATTTGTTTGCACATGAACTCGGTTGTTGTCATCGTCTTGTCCGGGAACACTTCGTCTAGATTCTTGAGGTTGTAGCGCGACAAAACTTTCGATAGAATATCGAGGGCCTTGCCAATGTCAATGACCCAGTTCGTCTCGGGATGCAGTTCTTCCGCAAGAAAATCGACGTCGCACGTATACGTTGCTCCGTGCATACCTCCGGCAGGCCCAAAGGAAGGATGACCGTGAAAGGAATGTGCAATCATGAGAGAATCCCTCACTCCGAGTGAAAACGGGAAATCATTTGCGGAGGAAGATCTTGGTCCAAGCCCCTCACCGAAGACGGCAAACGACAACASCAAAACTCCAAAGATCCAGAAATTTTTCAGCAACATGATATAATMGATGGGTATTCTTCGTCGAGTTTATTTGGGCCCGTAAATTGCACTGTCTTTTGCGATTCAGTGCTCTTATTTGTATATGCTTTGTATTTTGTTACACCTGATACGTTCTGCTACTTCTCTATCGGATACGAGTACCGTGTCGGTTTTCTGTATCGGATCATTATTGAAGCTGATTTACTACAATACGATACCATACGTACTCGTGGTACGTGCTCGTACCAGTGACGGTGATCAAGGATCAAGGATGATTTTTACATTGATTTGATGAGAYGGAGGCGATTGTTGTTGTTCTTTCTGGGATATCTGACGCGCGATTTTTCGCAGATGGCGCGCGCGATTGGTCTGAACCACCGATTTTCCGTTTCAAAAAATCTTGGAACCCATCATGAAGTGTGAACATCGCGGAAAGTGTTAGAAAGACAGCCGGTGTGAAGCGATCAAAACTTGAAAGCAACAATTGCAAAACAAAATTTTGATCAACAGCAGAGCTGTGTTGAATTGGTATCGGTAGTCATTGGAACTGCCCCAACTTGTTCTTGAGGTTCGGGATCCAACTTTCAAGGTGCATAGTCCGAAATTTCGCAAAGATGCAGCACACCTACCTTCGATACGAATGTGCCGACTCCTTCGGTTTGATTTCATCGTCRGCCTCTTCCAAGGCACCCCAATCAAATTCCATCCTTGCTTTCGCGTCAGCTTCCCGGGAGGCCCCAATCCTATTGACAACCGCGGGCAGTCACTGCATGGGGTACCATTTGCGCACTACCAATCCTACTATCAAAATTGCTCAACGCGAACAGCTCAGCGGCGGCGTGGGAACAGGACGAGCCCTGAATAGTGATCAGGTCRTTTGCATAGACGTAGCAACAGGCAATGGCAACAGTGACACCTGCAAGGTTGCTACGGGATGGGTAGATGGTGCAGTTCGCGTCTTCGAYGTGTATAAGGATGAGCTGAATCCACGATCAGGATGCGCATTAGTACAGTCGCTTTTGGAGGATAACCAAGATGAGGATTTTCTCATGAGAGAACCCCTTCTATTGAACGGCCATTCCGGATCTCCAGTWCGTTCCTTGGTGTTTGATTCAAAGAACGGATCCAGATTAGCGTCTGGATCGAATGATGGTTCTGTCGTMTTATGGGATGTTGTTGCGGAAACGGGCCTTTTCCGTCTACTAGGGCACAGAGGAGGGATCACTGACATTCATTTTGTTACCTTGAAAGATGGCATGATTGATCTTCTAGTGACAACGAGTTTGGACGGATTCGTCAAGATTTGGGATTTGAAAGGACAGTGTTGTATTCAGACTATTCCATCACATCGAGGTGAAGTCTTGGCAGCTGGTTGCCTTAGCATCCCCAATATTGTATCTGTTCAGTCCGCTAGCGATGCTTCAGATAGTGGTGGTGATGAGAGAATTCGTCTCATTACTGGTAGCACTGATGGGCAGGCAAGGGTTTGGTCAATCCAACCGTCAAAAAGACACGAATTAAATRATCTCTCAGAATCGTCATCGAAAAATAATGACGAGTCTAATAGTCCTGCTATTGTCGAGGACGACGCTGAAAAAGAGAACGAGAGCTTGGACGATGTTTGCCATTACATGGGATGTTTGACAGCTCCACCAAATGTTTCAACCTCTACAGATCGGCTATCCTGTATTCACTTCCATCCAAACGGTAAATACGTAGGAATTCTTCACTCAAATTCAAAAAATGTGGAYGTATATCTCATCCGGAGCGTTCACGAGTCGTTACGGAAAAAACAAAGACGCCTGAGACGACGAAAAGAGAAGGCATCAAAGGTCAACAATGCATCTCTGGACGACGGTTTGACTAAGTCAAAGGGACAAAAACGTGGCATATTGGATGATCCAGTATCAGATGAAGAGAATGCAGATAAAGAGGAGAATGAGAAGCAGAGTCTAGACAAATCTCTCGACCCCGACATGATCAAGGCATCCGATGAATTCGAATACTTCGGAACTGTACGAGCCAGCCACAAAGTAAAGGGCTTCACTTTCGTGCCATTTAAAGAGAAGGGAGGAGGTATTCGTATAGTATGTTCCCTGGCAACGAATGCCCTTGAGGTACATTCATTAACACGAAAAAAAGAAAAGTACGTACTTACAGTGTCTCATTTTTTTCGTTGTCAAAAAGCAAATTCGTTTTCTCAACTTTTTTATCGATCAATTTTCGAAATAGCGAGGAACAAACAACATCGACAGTTTCGGCAAAAGTTTCGACCATGAGCATGGGTGGGCACCCAACTGGGATCCGAGCAGTGGAACTATCTTCCGACGATGCGCTTGCCTGCACAGTGTCGAAAAGTACAACGAAAATATGGAACGTGAAAAAACGATCCTGCGTTCAGTCCCTAGTCCCTTCTGTAAACAATATATCATGCTATGGTCTTTGTACTGTATTTTTACCTGGAAATAACCATTTGGTTCTTGGAACTAGGGAAGGTCACCTATTGATACTCGATATTGCAGCTGGTGATGTTGTCTACGTCGAGGAGAATGCGCATGATGGAGCTATATGGAGTATGGATATGCGTCGGCCAACTGCACAACAACCTTCCATAGCTATTGTGACAGGATCGGCAGACAAATCAGTGAAATTTTGGGAATTGGAAACTCAAGAGGACAGCTCGGCTCCAATGCTTGTGCATTCTCGAACACTTGAAATGTCTGATGATGTCATCGCCGTCCGCTACTCGCACAGTACAGATCCTACAAAGCGAATGGTWTTTGTCTCTAGTTTAGACTCAACAATTAAGGTGTTTTTCGATGACACCCTAAAATTTTTCTTGAGCCTCTACGGACATAAGCTTCCTGCTTTGGCAATTGATGCAAGCGACGACGATGTCATTTTGGCATCATCGGGTGCAGATAAAACAATTAAGATTTGGGGCCTCGACTTTGGTGATACCCATCGAACACTTCATGGGCACGAGGATTCGGTGACTGATTTGCGATTCGTGAGGAGAACTCATAATTTTTTTACAACAAGCAAAGACAACACAGTGAGATATTGGGATGGAGATAGGTTTGAGCAGATTCTCGTCCTGCACGGTCATTTCGCAGAAGTGAGTTGTCTCTCAATTAGTAGGACTGGTGCTTTCGTAATGACTGGTGGGTTAGATCGCCAAGTACGTGTATGGGAGCGCACGAAAGATATTGTTTTTCTGGAAGAAGAACGTGAAAGRGAACTAGAGCAGATGTTCGATGGAGTTGGTAGAGATGAAGATGCTACAGGCAGACTGCTAATGAAGAAAGGAGAAGAAAAGGAAGACGACGATGCCGAAGATGGAGACGACGAACCCCAGAGTGAGGCTGCTGTCAAAAGAAGTGTTCTCAGTGTTGCTGCTGGAGACCGTATCATGGAATCGCTCGAACGTGCTGATCAAGAGAAAAGGGATGCAGCGCTATTTCGCAAGAAAAATCCAGGAAAGGAAAAAACTCCGAATCCTCTGCTTTTGGGGATGGAACCCGCGCTATATTTTCTCTGGGTTTTGAAATCAGTCAAGCAAGCTGAGTTGGAGCAGAGTTTACTTGTGCTTCCTTTAGGGCATGTCGAGCGGGTTCTATACTACCTCATCCTTCTTTTGAAGAGTGGTCGTGGTGTGGAGATTTGTGCGCGTGTAAGCGTATTCTTGGTCAAAATTCACCAAAATCAGGTACGTTTGATATGCAAATGCATTGCACTGTGCAAGTATAGTTGTTAYACTGTCATGCTACGAAGAACATTTGATCTTCAGATGGCAAATACTGCGCAAATAAAAACCGTGTTGATTGTTTTATGCCCAGATTTCTGAGCATTTTCTTGTTGGTGAGCAATTAGTCATATGCAATTTAATCTCTAACGTTCTCCTTGTTCACATTCCACAAATTGCAGGTATGTATGAAAAATGTGCGCCTGATAGGTTCCATCTGCGCCTTGTACTTAATTTTGCTATGAAGAGCATTTGATCTTAAATTGGCAAACGCTACGCCGATACAAACCGTGTTGATCATTTTATACCCAAATTTCTGAGCATTTTCTTCTTGAGAATTCAACCTGAAGGGCTTGTATTTTTTTTAATTGTGTTCTGAAATCTCTCAATTTTTCTATATCTGTATTTAACGTCCACACCAACACCTATCTCAAAACTTTCACAACTTGCAGGTATGTTTGATAAAWACATGCGTAACAGGATTTACCCACGCCTACTACCTCATTTTTGCTGTGAAGAGCATTTGATCTTAAATTGGCAAACGCTACGCCAATATAAACCGTGTTGATCATTTTATACCCAAATTTCTGAGCATTTTCATTTTGGCAACAAATTGAGGAGGATCCATTCAATATCTTCTAACTTTTTTGTTTCTTTCGCTTCAACGATTTCAGATTATGGCCAGCCGGTCGATCATAGTTCCTTTACGAGAGTTGCGGCGCCTTTTGAGAGAAAGACTGTCGGAATCCTGTGACACGATAGGTTTCAACCTCGCAGCTCTTCGAGCTGTAGCACGCACTAATGCAGATAAAAAGGAAAGCTATCTAAACTACAACAACGAGCAAACGAAAGACATTTGGGCTGGGATGGGACTCGGAAGTGACCTCGCAGCGGCGCTGGAGAGTCGAAAACCAGCTCGATAGGTTCTTGGTAGCGCATTTGATGAACTTTAACATTCAAATACTATTATTATTTTTTGAAATCCTCCTTTATTTTTTGCGTCGCATTTGTAAGCTATAACATAATTTTGGAATGATGCCTGCTAAAGTAACCGCCATTGATATTACAATCTGTTTTTTGCAGCGCTTAAGCTTGATGCGTTCATGGAATTGGTGAAAACTGAAATTCTACGACSTCATGCATGGTCGCCTTTYTACGACGAGATCGGAAGGCATTTTACTATTTGTCTCTTCGATACGGGTGCTCTAAACAGAGGATGATGACAAAGAGTTGGGACAGTAATATCAATAATATAATGACAGGTGGAATCCTCTTTCACCGCAACTGATAGGTCKTCATTACAGGAGTATCGAACAGTGATGGCGCGTTCGATTCCGCCTTCCCCAAATGCGCCTGCCTTCATCGCAGAATCTGTGACATCCACATCGTCGCAAATGTCGCCCCCAGTGTACTCTTGGAAGTAGTATGCACCATTTCCGCCAGCATTAGCGAACGGAACCGTTGGTGATTTGTCATCCGCAGAGGGTTTTGGCTTCGACCCTCCTTGCGACGATGATGTTGCGTTCACAACTTGTTCCCATTCGTTCTCTTTTGTAACTCCCTTGTGATTTTCTGAAATAAATCGTCCTAAGAAATATTCCGTAACGCCTGGCCCTGCTGTCTCCTCCTTTTGTGCTGTTACTATTCCTTTAAATTGATCCTGCTTGAACGATTTGTCTTCGTGAAATTGGCGCACGTAACTTCCCGGACAAAACTCATACGCCCACCAGCCCCCAGTGTACTGCCGAATGCAAAAGTTTCCCGCTTGCCCAAACGTCTCYTCCAAAATCTCGGCGACGGACATATTCTCCGCTGTGGAAGGATCCAACTCGTTATTGATTTGATTTTTGCCCTTACCGTTCRTAGCCTTCTTGTATGCWTTCTCCAAGGGGGATTCTGTTTTTGTGTCTCCCRCTTTTGAGTCTTTTTCGCCAGTCCCGTCATCAAAATCATCGCACAGAAGAGGTGTACAGAGCGTGATATTGTAACGACAGACGGCGTTTCTATTTTCCTTTGCTTCGAAAATACTGATAATGTTTGTGTCCACCTGGTTCCCGTTTTTCAACACTCCGCCCTTGGTTTTCCTCAAGAATCGTTCAGAGCAACATCGAAATGTAGCTTCTGTCACACGCGGCTCACCAGTCTCTGGGCAGGTTTCACCTCCGACAAAGGTATCGATTACGCGTCCAATCTCCTTTCGTCCTTGTGCAAGGTCAGTTTCATCTTCATTGTCGTTCGTATCATCATCGTCGTCCTCATTTACGACTTGGATTCTCCTTTCAGATAAGCTTCCGAGATTGGTTATGCCTTCGAGTTCAAATTTTTGTGCCTTGCCGTTTGATTGGAGAACTTTGACGTGGAATTGCTTAATGTTTTCTTGGTGGCACCACTCATARCTCCACCAACCAGGGGGRTGTAACTGGGCGCACAAACCAGTTAATTTTTTCAACCGCTGGTGAATTGTATGCCCTACCATTACAGGGTCGAACCCAATCTCGGAGAGACTTTGAGAAGCGGAAGGGTCAGCTTGCTCCGATCCACTGGTTTCCTCGTTGCGTTCTTCCGACGGSGATGATTCTTTGCTGCTGCTGTTGGGTTTCTCTTTCAGTATTGGAGTGTCGAACATACTATCTCCGAGACTGCTTGCTTTCAGTTCGTCTTCCAGAAATATCCGGCAGGCAAAGGCACGGCCGGCATTATCTCKCACAGTTGTATACATAGGATCAAACTCGCCGTCATCCTCGTCGTCCTGGTCGTTCTCCCCTTTCTCTACTTTGGATATAGAAGGAAGTTTCAAGGGCAAAGCGGCCAGTCGGCTGGCCGTAGCTCTGCTGAAGCCGCCGTATGGGGTTCCAAAGGGTGTTTCCGGTTCCAGGGCCATTAAGTTGTACTCATCGTTCCTAGGAAAGCTATCCGTGTACAAATGTTGGTGATCGTCGACGCCGACACCAACGACTCCGTCGAGACGCTGGGTCACGAGAATAAGTTGCAGCGCTATCACAGGCGCAACAATCACGACCAGCTGRAASATTGACGAACATTTYAAGTTACGCCTCATTCTATTGTATGCGCTGTACATTGCAATGCTTTARTTGATAGCTTATGCGAGTGCCCCAGACTCCATCCGGTGTATCGCAAGTATCGAATGAAATGATTTTGTTTGAGAACGGGTTTGCAGGTTTGCTTCAAACTCAGTGACCTCGAAAATGAAAAAGACACATTTTTGATTTTAACCCTTCTGTGACCAACGAATGTGCTCGTACGGTACCTCTAGTACCGTTTATTACAGTAACAAATTCTACTGTATTACGGTTACCATTTAAAAATAGTAGTACCAGTAGTAGTAGTAGTAGTAGTAGTAGTAATAGTACTAGTACTAGCTAGTAGTAGTAGTAATAGTACGGTAGTAATAGTAGTAATAGTACTAGTACCACTATTACTAGTAGTACTAATAATAGCTACCACACTACTACTACTGAGGTCAATAGTAGCTATTTTAGATGAGTTGTGTTAATACTGGTGAGGTCAAGAATTAGATGAGTTGTGTTAATAGTACGTCACAGTAGTAGAAGTAGTAGTAGTAGTAGTACTACTACTACTACTACTACTACTACTACTACTACTACTACTACTACTACTACTACTACTACTACTACTACTACTACTACTACTACTAAAAGGTAGGGACTTCATGTACTACTAGTACTAGTAGCAGTACTAGTAAAACTCTTCACTCACAGTTTTAGTAGCAGCAAATTTAACCAGCAGCTGCTGAACTTGCATTATCACCACCTTGTAGTATTAGGCATCTCTACATCACTAGTAATGCATTCACATGTACTAGTTTACATCTCCACACAACACAACCAGCAATCTTGACCTCACCACCACCAGATCCCTTCCAACCTTGTTAACACACCTTGCTTTTTAGTCTCCTCCTATTGTTTGTTGTAGTACTACTAGTAACCTGCTTCATCTAAAAATTGATCCAATGCACCAGCTGAAAATTGCCACAAAACAGCAACATCATGTCTCAAATTCCAAAGTACTACTAGGGGATGCTAGTTTTGCTCAAATGTTGTTGTGCCATCATACTACTAGTATGTTTGTCATGATGTCCAGCCATGACAAGAAGAAGAACCCCAGGCCAACTGTCAAGTCCCAACAGCTCTGTCAGAGTTATGAGTCCGAGAAAACATTGTTGTACCAAAGCATTTGTTGTGATGCTGCTCCTCCTCTCAACCATGTTATTAGTGTCTTTAGGTTAAAAATCTGGGACAGTACAAAACAATGCTGCATTACCAGTGACCTTAATCTACTGTACCAGAGACTGCTCTGACTAAGTCAAAAATAGTTGTTCTTATATTTGTCCCTTAGTACTTACTAAACAAAATGACACATGTCCAATTATAGTTGGTTATTGATTAAAGAATAGAAATCAAGTAGCTTGATTGTAGAAATAAAGTAGCTTTTAGTACGAGGTAGCTTTAAAGTAGTAGCTGGTGTTCTCTACTTCTAAATTGGCGGGTATAGTACAATTTCTATGTGGTAGGGTGACCAGAAGGCTACTTTAAAGAAGTAACTTTTACTAGGTAGCTTCAAAGTAGCTTAAAAGTAGCTTTTTTAAGCCAATTTCCTGTAGGCAATGTAGGGATGTTATTCTGATGAAAGTGAGGATCACCAGCACCATTCTGGATGTACACACAAGTATGTGCCTAGGAGTTGTCAGCATGGGTCCAGTGGTAGCTTAAAGTACTATCTGCTGATGTCTACTAGAAAGGAAACTACAAGAATGCAGAGGAAAAAGGTATTAGAATGATATCAGAGAGAGACAAAAGTAATTCTATAATGCCTCACCAGAATCATTCTACTAGTAGTAGAGTCATGGAAATCATACAATGAAACAGCAGCCAGCACCACCAGAATACACAATGGTACTAGACGCATGGCCATAGTAGAAGTTATGCAAAATCATAGAATCATGGCAGAAACATTTCAACACTATCACCACACAACAGTTAATGAGATACTACTCACTGCTGTCTGTTTGCACTGTCATCACGTTACTAGTAGTCCTGCTAGTACTACTACTAGTAGTACTAGAGGTGAACTAAAAAATCAGTACCATATACTAGAAACTTGTTGTGAATTAGGATACTACTACTAGGGGCTTGGGAGACCTGAACCATCACTTTGTGGGGAGGAATGCGCCTTTGGAGCAACAGCAGCACCTCATCCCCCAAAGAGGATGAGGCACAGAGGAACAAGAGGAAGAACAAAGAAGAAGTAGTAGTACTACTACTACTAGTACTACTAGTATTTGGTGTGGACTTATTCGTCTCCTTCTTCCTCTTCTTGTTGGCTACGGTGCACTGCACTGCACTTCACTTCACTACGTCACATGACGTATCTTTAGTGCAGGTACTAGCCAGTAACCTTGAAGAATTCTTACAGTCCTGTACTTACCGAGGAAACAAAAAGAAACTTTTTTTAGTGTGGATTTGTACAAACCCTGGTATACCATTTTTTGCAAATAAATTAGTACCTGACCAAAAATAGATTATTCATTTTTACTTAAACATTCAGTCATTATTGTGACAAGTCATTCTAGCAATAACCTAGTTTTTGCACCGTAGTAAGTTTTTTTGGCCGCCATCGTCCTTCAAAAAAAGAAACAGCGGCGGCGGCCACAACCAATTGTTACTAGTAGTTAAAATATTTGGTCAGTGTGGTTTGATTGGCTCTGGACAAAAAAATCGATGAGAGCCAGAGACAAGTCTAGCTGTGAACTCTACTTAATCCTAGAGATACTATGTGGGAAAGAAAATAAAACAATAAATGAAGTTCTCAAATTCTCAAATTAGCATCACAGTTGTCAGAATATTGTCAGAATAAAGCGACGGCGTCTGTCCGTAGCTCCCGACCACGGGCACGAGTACGAATACGATCAAAACATCAGAGCAAGAACAAAATACTAATAATACCAGTAATGCCATTGGTTCATTTTCGATGGCACCTGCAACGGAGATTCAGAACAGGCTTGAAAAATCAAGTTGATCACAACAAGAATTCGATCTCGACGAACCTTCCTGCTACGACAATGAGCGACCATACAATAAGAGGAAAGCTGAGAGTCCTCGTGATCACCCTCGGTGGCGAACGGCGGCGTCAAATAGAAGAATTGTTTGATGATCCGGTCATGGGCGAGCACTTCGAAAGGCCANTGAGAGTCCTCGTGATCACCCTCGGTGGCGAACGGCGGCGTCAAATAGAAGAATTGTTTGATGATCCGGTCATGGGCGAGCACTTCGAAAGGCCAACGTTCAGCGAAGGCGTGCCCTCGAGATACATTCGAAACCGGTTCAATTTCTACAAGGTTGCCCAYGACGCAGGATTGTTGCCCGAGCAGGAGTGGCAGGCCATCCTCAAAGCGACTGAAGAAAAGACATATGACCATCTACCTACTGAACGATTTTTTGACTGCCTTGAGGAAGTCGAAGTCACCAAGGGACGACACGGTAGCCAAGAAGATATCAAACTCCACTATTCTGTAGAACTATGGAGAAAAGCCAAGGCAATCAATCGAGCTCGATCCGAGTTAGCATGCGTTTTTGCACATCTCATYGCCATGAAAACTTTTGTAGAAGATGGAAACTTTGATTTAATTCTTGAGGATAATATTCGAACGGATCCCAAAAGCTGTGCACACAAGGTGTTAGAGTTCATGAGGGCTACCGAGGAATGGGAAGAAGATATGTCAGAAATAACGAAATCCAAATGTCACTTACGGTTTGCTGGGTGGTTGGGTTCGGTCCCGAACATAGAGTGGATCATGCAAACTCACATACCAAAGAGAAAATATTCGAGGAAAAAGGCTTGCAAGGACGACAACGACGAAGACGAAAGAGCAACAATTTTCCCCCTACCTCTGCTTGAGCACTTGAACGAAGACCTCCAGACAATAGAGGAAMGTCAGGYAAAAGTGGAACCTAGTACAAATACGTCAACAGAAAAGGACAAAGACGAAGAAGAATCCGAAATCGGGGAAGCCCAACAAACTCAAAAGCACACAAAGCCCGGGGGCAATCTACTTTGGGGTGCATACGCGTATTGGATATCCAAGGAGGGTTACRAAAGTTTGCTCGAAACTCTACGYAGTGAYGTCGGTGCAATACTGTGGAAAGGGAAACGGATGCGGAATTATGCWGTCAAACCGATAGATAAAATGTTGCCTCGACGAACCGTCTCCAAATTTGGACCTTCTGCCGTTCAAATCTTGTCGCAGCCAGCCTTTTTCAGAGCCCCGATGCTGACCAGTAAAATCCATACGCAGTGGGATCCTGGGTTTTGCGAAAGCACGGAATTCCAGCTTCAAAAGGGCAAGCTAGGTTGGTCCGATCTGTGGCTCACCGATACCGAACGTRCGATTGTGGATCACCACAAGACATCTGGAAAATGGTTGACTATCAAGGAATTGGAACTACTACAAMTGTAGCTGATATTTTCCCACGACTRCGCCTGCAAAATRAAWTTTTGGCATTCTTAATCTCACWTTTGATATACAATATTTAACTAGAGCTTGCACTAGTGCTATCGCCATCACTCGCCATAGCTATCATCGCTCGTTTCATGGCGGAGGTTTTCCGAACGATATCTTCGTAAATTGCTTGATCTRCAGCTATTCGTTTTGCACGCTCTTCACGTACTCGTGCGCGAAGTTCGGAAATTTTTGCTAGTGTTACCTCTACTCGTTCCTTCCGATTCGGTACCCCAGTTTCCGTTTTTCTTTGCAAAACTTCGATCTCAGCCCGGCTGATAAGATGATAGAAGTATGTTYAAATAGTCAGTAACGGGCTCGAAAAATCAAAAGGAAGTGCTCGAAAATATAAAAATACGTACCTTGAGGCCCACTCTGAACGGTAGCTTTTATTGATAGTTCCAACAACAGACTCGAAGCGCTGCACAATTCCTGCCTCAATTTTATTGGACTTGTTGTTTTCGATCCGAATCTCAGGTTTTACACTTCTTTGTAACTCRTCGTGGATACTATCCAGTTTATCCATCTTCGCATCGCTCATAATTACATTGATGTGGTGGGTCATTTGCGCATCTATAGCACCAACGCGACGTTCTAAGGCCGGTATTCCAACCGATCGATTCATAGAAGCTTGGCGRTCTAGGGAAAGACGCTCTGTCGACGAAAGCAATGGATGAATGATAGTACGTTCAAATGTATCRCAGGTTGCTAGATCCAGATCCATCCTTTCTTCGGCATATTTTGACATTAGCTTTGCCGTGTGGCAATCCTTTCGGTCRTGTAAGAATGCAGATTGAACATAATGAGATGAACGGTGACAACTGAGCAAAATGTTCATCCGTTCAAGAAATAAATCCCATGTAACTTGACATCGCYATCTTCATACACCTCGTTTGCAACCAAAATCTGAATRGAAGCAAGAGTATTTTACATTTCGTCATGAGTTGTCAAATGCATAGTACCGGTACGTACCAATTCATGCATCCTTGCAACAAAATCTCGGCGGCGCTTAATTGTTCGCTCTTGCAAGTTTTTTAGTTCTGTCGGGACGCTCTTTCGGTCTGATAAAAATACGAACGGCGTTCTGGGTTGACGAGTAGGAGTTTCAAACCCCGCATAAGAGGTTTTCGGAACTCTCGCTGTTTGTGGCGTAAATAACGTCCTAGATGGAGTGTCACTAAGAGACRCCCCACCGATCAGTGGTGATTCGCTTCCGACCGTCATTTCTATGTGCCTTTCTGTTGCGAGACTTCGATTGAATAGTGAGCTCTATTGCTGGAGAAATATTGTGTCTAGAAGGGGTCCGGAGAGCCTGAACTATGGATCGATGGATTTGAACCTAACAATCATGCTGAACTTACTACTATTTCTAAGAAATTCAAAATGTCTTCGATGCATTTCTCATACGGTACCCAGGTACGGTACGTACGGTATCGTACGAACTGCTCCGCCCACAGTCAGGAAACTCGAACTTGTAGTACCGTTATTTTTGTACTCGTAACTCGGTTTGATACAGGTACATACTATTACATAGTATAGGTACGTACTCGACTAGTACACTGAACCTTCATACATTACGTATCGCATGTACGTAGTACTCTTACTACGCGTTGCATAACAATTGAAATTACGTAAACTATGGTCCACGAGGCACGCATGTACATACCTAGCAAAAATTAAAAATTACTGTATGTTGTTACATTTGAGGAGAACGGAATCATATACGCCATAGAGTTCCATGACACCTTGCCAAACTTTTCTCAGGAATCTAAATGACCTGGGCAGTGTTCTCGAATCTCTGTCTGARTGATAGTGAAATCTATTWATCATGGCACGACGAATGAAAGACAATATGTTAATGCAGATGCTGTTCGCGTTCATTATCTTCTTGCGATTAAGCATAGTGGGTGGATTATCCAATGCTTCCACAAATTTTTCCCAGRTGACACCAGGACAGCAATCAGCTCTCTGTGCCAAAAAAACACARATAATTGTGGTCGGAGGAGGACCTGTCGGCTTGTCAGCTGCCCTTCTGCTCGCCAACCAAGGGTACGATGTTACTGTCCTCGAAGCCACCGAAACCACAAAAATCAAGAYCTTCAACCCGGCGCTTGCCTACTTGTACAATATCAACGCGAGGGGGCAAATCTTTACMAAAAAAATCCCCAGCGCCCATAAAAAGCTTGTCGAAAGGAGTGTAYCATCCACCGATACTGGGTTTCTCTTGGCGCCAGCTGATTTGGAGAAAGAGATTAAGTATCCCTTAGTACCTTCGTTTGGAGACGWTTCGTATTGGATTCCAAGACATGAAATGGTTGTACTATTRTGGGAGGCTGTCGATGAACACAATAAAGAGTATGCGTCAGGAAATAATCACAATCGTGTTGGAAAAATAAGTTACGAGCACGGAGTGCAATGTCTTAATGTCCATCCATGTGCTGAACACGAGAACAGCGTGTCTGTTGTTACGAAAAATAAGGGTGACGGGAAAGAAAAAACTCTTAGGGCAGAACTAGTTATCGGAGCGGATGGTATCGACTCGAAAGTCAGGGAATGTCTCAAACAACGATCGGGTCTCTTTCAGTCATGGAATTATAACAAGAACAAGTTCAAGATGAGAAAATGGATCTCTCCTGCAACAGGCTTGAAGTTAAAGGTTGGTTTATTTCATTGATCTCGCGGCACCGTTTGTCAAACTTGATACTCTTTTCCTTAAACGGTTGATCGTACTTGTGTTGTTGATTCATTTTAAGGCACTTCAACTTCCAGCAGACAGGTATTTGGTGAAAGATGCCAGCGGAAATAAAGTTGCTACGAAAAAGAACGACTTTGTTTCAGTGAGGGGCAAAAGAGTCGGACCACTAGACACTTTATCTCTGTCGTGTCTACCTGTGAGTGAATCCACCAAGATTCGTCCAGGAAACTGYATAACTAGACCCAACCACGTATTATGGACAATGAAGAATGGGAAAGAGGTGAAGGCCTGGTTYAAAGATAATTATCCTAGATTAGATCTAGATGATATAATTTCAGATGATGAGTGGCAACGTTTTGCAGAAGCCGATGGGTTGACTTTTCCACCATGTCAATATAGTCCAGGTCTAATGGCATCGTCTCGCGATAATAGGTGCGGGATTGTTTTGCTGGGGGATGCAGCCCATTCGTTCAGTCCCGACATTGGACAAGGAATCAATGCTGGTCTCATGGATGCAGTAAAACTCAGTGAGTGTCTCGCAAACACCTCCCCCGACAAAAAGTCTGCAACTTTAGCCGAAAACAATCTGGGCGCCGCCCTCAAACAATATGAACGCATCCAGGCTCCAGAGGTAAGTGGCCCTACCCGGTTTTCCGACTTCAAACAATTCAATTGGATTTTGAATTCTAACCTACGGTCTATTTTCAAATCTTTTAGACGCGGGCACTGGTTCGCCTTGCCAGGTTTGGTAGCCCCTATCAATACAATCAGCCTCTTTTAAAGGATCGAATAGGGAAGAAACTTTGGACAGCAAATGTACTAATGCGTGTTCTTTTTAACAAGCTCACGTTCGGAATCTTTCCAAAACCTGTGGTGATGAATGTTAGCTCAAAAGACTTGACTTACAGACAGATTGCTCGCCAAGCTGATTTTGCTACATTTGGACTGGTGTTTGCCTTGATGTTTTCTGTGCTGAAGTTTGTGATGCGACTTCCATTCATTAGAGTACAGTTAGTTCCACAAGTTCTGACATTCATGCCATGAAACCTGGTTTAATGAATTCACCGAAGGATCACCATTTCCTGCCAAAAACAAAATAAAACACGTTACTATTATCAAAGTGACTGAAATATGATGTTCAACTGCTTTGCTCTGGTAGCTCATTAGAACCAAAAGTCATTATCGTCTTTGTCTCTGGCTTTTCTGTCTTGTTGTTGATTCCAACCTTTCTTCAGAGCTTCATGTGAAACTCAAATCTCAATACCAAAACCAAATCCTATAGGGCMACTTATCCAAGTACAAACACCCTGCTGTTGTGTCATATGTGCGACAATAGTTTGTTGTTCAAAGGCTCGTGGGTGATTGCATGTGGTATAGTCAAGTGAGGGGAGAGCACACCTAAAAAATCACCATRGTGATGGTAATTTTTATTGGAATTGCGTCATAACCTGTGGGAGTGACTATCCAATAGTGATGTAAATYGAGTGCTAGAAGAAAAGTGAGTTGATGCTCTTATTGAGAATCAAGGAACTATGAAATCTAAGGTTGATCAGAATGAAGATCGAGTGATGTGTGTGAATCAAATGAGTCAAGTCAATTGTGTGGATCCATAGGATCAAATGAGGAATCATGAATGTAGAGTGTGTATGGATCATAGRTATTGGCCATATGTACGTATCATAGATATGGATCATACGCACAACATGATATCCTCTGGATAGGACCCTCCTCCCCTGATCTGTGATGTGTGAAACAAGTAGATCATAGAAGAAAAGATGAGGAAGGAGGATATCATTTGGGTGGAGCAGGAGCAAACAAGTGCCCAAAGAGTCAGCGTACGTGGTGATTGTGAAGGACCCAGCCAAGAGGTTTTGTCMGTGCATCTGCAGGATTTATCACGCCATTGATGAACTGCATCTTGATGTATAGATCTCCTTTCCAATCTTGTATTACAAAAGTATGGTATGTCAAAGTGTCGTGCTGATTGTTCCATAGGAACTCCTGAGTTTAAAATTGTTGTTTTCATACAACATTGTTGGTTGTTGTTGAGGAAATCTGAGGTCAGCAAGAATACCTGAGGTATAAAATAATATTTGCAGCAGAAACAGCAGCATAGAATTCTGCTTTGGTTGAGCTTTGTGCAGTTTGGGTTTGSGTTTTCRATTTGTATACAATGATAGCGTTTGTTAACATAATTTTTTGTTTTGGTTTTATATTTGCGTATGCAACATCAACTACACAGGTGATGTTGGTGTGTGTAGGTAAAGATGGAAATGGTGGAAGATTATCTGGTAGTGGTATGGGTAAATCTTTGAAGTTACCATCTGGTAGTTCATTGTCTTGTAGGATTGTAGTTTTGTGGTATTGTAGACCCCACACTTTTGTGCCTTGAAGGTTAAGAGCAA